AGTGAACAGGCAAAAGGGGGGGGGGGGGGGCCTGTACAATTTCAGAGTCACTTGTTTACACAAAACTGCTTAATGCCCAAAAGACGTTTGTGGAAGTTTTTGCAGTAAAGGTCAGGGAAACCCAAAAAGTAGTCATTGTGTTTGTCTACAAACCTCCGGATGCAACATCCCGATTCCAAAGGAAAACGTTAAAATTTAAACCCCCCGTTGGGAAAAAATTTCCTCTTCCCCACCCAACATCTTGGGTCCTTGGGGGGTTTTTAACCCTTAAAAGGGACCCAAAAAAAGGGGAATATAGAAAAAAATAATTGGGTTTCAGTAATAACACCCGGAAGGGAGCTCGATGAAAAAATCACACTCCCCACGGGGCTTTTAAAAACTCTGCCCAAAAAATTTAATTTTAAAAACCCGCAAATAATAGAGTCCTACTAGGGCTGGGAAAACACTAGACCTCATATTCACTAACAAGTGATTTTATTAAAAATGGGCACCCTATCAAAAAAAATTTTACTCAATCACAACATTAAAATTTAGGTTCGACATGTATGCGAGGAGCCCCCGACCCAAAAAAATTGGGGGAAATAGTCACGAGGGAGCATTCACCAAATTCAACTTTAATAACAAAAACAAAAGTGGGGGGCCAAAATAACCCAAATCCCAAACCCATATAAACTGGGGAAAATATACTAAGCCAAAAACAGACCCAAAAATTATGCCTAGAAAAAGATTAAAATCGGGCCAAAATCGATGTATGCACAAGGCCCTTTTTCCCTAAGAAAAAAAGGGGAGTAAATGTAAAATAGAAAAGGGGAAAAGGCGCTCCCCCTTTTCAGGCGACGGAAAAAAAAATTAAAAAGAGCGGCTAAAAAAAAGGTCAATATAACTGAAAAAGCGCGGGGGGACACTGGTCAGAAAATAGCAAAACATCGAACTTAAGCAAAAGAATCCTTTAGGGGTCGGAATTTGCGGGAAGAACTAAAAGCTATAAATGGAAATCGAAAAAAACCCAAATTTTCTTCTCCTATGCCCAAAAAAAAAAAAACGAGAACAACGCCCCGTATTGGGCCCCCCACTTAAACAAAATGGGTCCTACACAGATGACAGCAAAGGAAAAAAGTGAGCACCAAGTCCCAATATGAATCAGTTTTTTTGCAAAACCCCTAACCAACTGAGGGGTCGAAGATCAAAAAGAATTTTTTTTTGAGAGAGCCCCAAAATTTGATTAACACAAACCATCCGATGTTATCCCGACGCCAAAAGACTTTTCCCAAAAGGCGAAAAAAATTTACAAAGCCCAGAAACTGCCCCAGGGCCCGACTCATGGAACTCTGTGTTCATTAAGAAAATGCAAGAAACCCCTATTTACGAGCCTTTTCCAACCCATGGAGAGGGGCATGACACGGGGGTCGGGCCCCTCAGTTAAATAAAAACAAAAAACATAAACCCCCCTCCACAAAGGGGGGGGAGAAAGCCAAAAGCAAAGAATACGACCAAAAAGCACTAACATCCCAAAATCATAAAAATCTTTGAAAGGGGCCTAAGAAGCAAGATCACCACCCATCTAGAAAAACCCCTCAGTTACACAACCCGGGCAAAATGGGGGGAGAACCAGGTCGCTCCTGTCTGCCCCAACTACCCGGATCACTACGAAAAGGTCCAAAAAGCACTTGAAGACAAAAAAAATGCAGGTGTAATTAAAAACAGACTTCGCAAAAGCCCTTTGACAATGTGACCATGGCGTAATAGCTCACAAAAGCCGGGTAAAGGGAAAAACAGGAAAAATCGGTCGATGGGTCTTAATTTCCCACTAAAAGAAACAGGAGTAGCGTCAAACAAGTAAAGTCCGAGGCAGCACGGTGGGAAAAACTCCCGGGGCCACAAGGCACAGTACTAGCTCCCCTTTGTTTCCTCATCCCCTCAAATCCCCACATAGACAAGGAAGTCACCACAGCACCGTGTCTTTTTCCCTTTTAGATGACACCCCAATTTTGCATGACGTGTCTTCCATTGCAGACACTGCAAGGCTCCAGGCGGACATCAACCAAATCTTTCAGTGGGCTGCAGAAAACAATATGAAGTTCAACGATGAGAAATTTCAATTACTCAGATATGGTAAACACGAGGAAATTAAATCTTCATCAGAGTACAAAACAAATTCTGGCCACAAAATAGAGCGAAACACCAACGTCAAAGTCTTGGGAGTGATCATGTCGGAGGATCTCACCTTCAAGGACCATAACATTGTATCAATCGCATCTGCTAGAAAAATGACAGGATGGGTAATGAGAACCTTCAAAACTAGGGATGTCAAGCCCATGATGACACTCTTCAGGTCACTTGTTTTATCTAGGCTGGAATATTGCTGCACACTAACAGCACCTTTCAAGACAGGTGAAATTGCTGACCTAGAAAATGTACAGAGAACCTTCACGGCGCGCATAACGGAGATAAAATACCTAAATTACTGGGAGCGCTTGAGGTTCCTGAACCTGTATTCCCTGGAACGCAGGCGGGAGAGATACATGATTATATACACCTGGAAAATCCTAGAGGGACTAATACCGAACTTGCACACGAAAATCACTCACTACGAAAGCAAAAGACTTGGCAGACGATGCAACATCCCCCCAATGAAAAGCAGGGGTGTCACTAGCACGTTAAGAGACCATACAATAAGTGTCAGGGGCCCGAGACTGTTCAACTGCCTCCCAGCATACATAAGGGGGATTACCAACAGACCCCTGGCAGTCTTCAAGCTGGCACTGGACAAGCACCTAAAGTCGGTTCCTGACCAGCCGGGCTGTGGCTCGTACGTTGGTTTGCGTGCAGCCAGCAGTAACAGCCTGGTTGATCAGGCTCTGATCCACCAGGAGGCCTGGTCACAGACCGGGCCGCGGGGGCGTTGACCCCGGAACTCTCTCCAGGTAAACGCAGCATTGTTTACCTGTTATATACTCTATCATGTAGGAAGGGTTTCCTCTAATGCTTCACCACACAGAAGGGGTTTTCCTTTAACCTGGAGTTTACCTGGAGTTTACCTGGAGAGAGTTTCGGGGGTCAACGCCCCCGCGGCCCGGTCTGTGACCAGGCCTCCTGGTGGATCAGCGCCTGATCAACCAGGCTGTTGCTGCTGGCTGCACGCAAACCAACGTACGAGCCACAGCCCGGCTGGTCAGGAACCGACTTTAGGTGCTTGTCCAGTGCCAGCTTGAAGACTGCCAGGGGTCTGTTGGTAATCCCCCTTATGTGTGCTGGGAGGCAGTTGAACAGTCTCGGTCCCCTGACACTTATTGTATGGTCTCTTAACGTGCTAGTGACACCCCTGCTTTTCATTGGGGGGATGGTGCATCGTCTGCCAAGTCTTTTGCTTTCGTAGTGAGTGATTTTCGTGTGCAAGTTCGGTACTAGTCCCTCTAGGATTTTCCAGGTGTATATAATCATGTATCTCTCCCTCCTGCGTTCCAGGGAATACAGGTTTAGAAACCTCAAGCGCTCCCAGTAATGAGGTGTTTTATCTCCGTTATGCGCGCCGTGAAAGTTCTCTGTACATTTTCTAGGTCGGCAATTTCACCTGCCTTGAAAGGTGCTGTTAGAGTGCAGCAATATTCCAGCCTAGATAGAACAAGTGACCTGAAGAGTGTCATCATGGGCTTGGCCTCCCTAGTTTTGAAGGTTCTCATTATCCATCCTGTCATTTTTCTAGCAGATGCGATTGATACAATGTTTATGGTCCTTGAAGGTGAGATCCTCCGACATAATCACTCCCAGGTCTTTGACGTTGGTGTTTCGCTCTATTTTGTGGCCAGAATTTGTTTTGTACTCTGATGAAGATTTAATTTCCTCATGTTTACCATATCTGAGTAATTGAAATTTCTCATCGTTGAACTTCATATTGTTTTCTGCAGCCCACTGAAAGATTTGGTTGATGTCCGCCTGGAGCCTTGCAGTGTCTGCAATGGAAGACACTGTCATGCAGATTCGGGTGTCATCTGCAAAGGAAGACACAGAGTTTTCCTATCATAATGCATCACACAAGTTTTCCCATGATGCTGTGTCAGGATGATTTTACAGTTATGCTCCATCGAACATGAGGGATTTCTTGTCATACAGCATCACAAAGTATGATTTTTTCCTGTCAAACTCTATTAAACAGCAATGGTTTTCCTGTTATATTGCATTACACAAAAAACGTAGACATCCTCTCATGCTCCATTATGCAGGTAGAGTGGGATTTCTGAGAAATATGCATATCTATCCTATTGATATTTTATTATATTTTTAAGGCTATGAAATATTTCAGTCTGAACTAGGAGACTCCAGTATAACGAGAAGAATAAAACTATAACATCACTTTAAATTCAGTTGCCATTGCAGTTATAGTTTCCTTCCATCAATATTGAAGTTACTTTCACATGGGGATTACCATTTTGGATAACCTATCACACAAATGGTAACGATGAAGGCATATTAATGATTAGGTAAATACAGGTTGGAGGTGTGAACATAAAATGTGAGATAGGGAAAGTTGCTTAGATGAATGGGGCTTAAAGCATGTCGACTACACTTCGGTCATTAATTAAGGCTGCTCGTTATCTTTTCGAGTTCCTATTTTTATAGATTTGTTTTAGGTATAAATAAAAAGACCATTCTCAAATATAAGTTGATTGCACAATTGCTATCATAATGTATTATCACAAAACCTAACCACCTCAGGCGGTGCAACATCCCCCCAGTTAAAAGAAGGGCGCTATGAGTACGCTAAGTGTCATGGACTCAAGACTGTTTAACCGCCTCCCAGCATACATAAAGGGGATTAACAATAGACCCCTGGCTGTTTCAAGAGGGAGCTGGACAGGCACCTAAAGTCAGTACCTGACCAGCCGGGCTGTAGTTCGTACGTCAGTTTGCATGCCGTCAGCAGTAACAGCCTGGTTGCTCAGGCCGATCCACCACGAAACCTGGTAATGGACCGGGCCGCGGGGGCGTAGATCCCCGAACACCCTCCAGGTAAGCCCTACAGAAAATGGCAAACCACTTTATTGTTAATATCTGAAGTCTTGCGACTGTATCCACATTTTGCACTGGTTAGACGAGTGACCTGGTAAATGATCAATGATTTTAATGGTAATAAGATACTCGAATTTTCTTGATGATAATTATTATTATAATATTTTAGTTTTCTTGAGTTGATATCCACATATTGTTTGTACATTAGCTATGTGAAAAAAAAATATTAAAATATGAAAATACTAATATTTTTAAAGATTTAACTATGCCCAGTGTGTCTGAAAAGACCCACTGTGACCTGTAATCATGTTATTTTGCACTACCGCTCGCAGGATTAGCTGTACATACACAATAAAATAGCAGCTCCGGCGGTACAAATTAAGTATGGATAATAACTTATGACTGACTCAATAGGCATCAACCACAAGCTGATTGGATTAATTTTAATGACATATCGTTGCCAGTAGGCCTGTGATTTCAAACTTTCTTCACGATTCTTGGTTCCTGTTCGATGAAGCGACGTTAGGCATTACTATATATCAGTGTACTGGTGGAAGTTTTGTGATTAATTAGTTCGTTTCCTTGTGGCAAAGGTGTCCGTATATGGTACTGGAGTGCAGTGCAGTGAACTACTCAACCCAATACTCCGGTTACAATCACCATCATAACAACAGGGAGCTTCCTCACAGCTTGGACTGAAAGAGAAAAAAAATGAGTTGCTGAAACTGCCAGCTTTATAATTGTTATCGCTTTTTATTTGCCGTTAATATTTTTTTCGTAAGCAACTATAGAGTAGAATAAAAATAAGTAAGCTGTAAAGTTACTGTTGGTTATTTGTCAGATATCAACTTCTACGGGTGAATGTCATAGGACCTGTTTAGTGGTGCCGGCCCAATAGCTGGAAAGCAACAGAACAGGATGGTCTATAAGTGTTTCATGAAGTGATAAATCAGCGTATGGATCATTCAACAAAAGGAGTGATGGAGGCACGACCCTCCATCTACCACTCTTCAAATGTGTTGCTTACCTTAACGTGTATGGCGACAACACCATCACTGTCAGAGGTGAGGATAGTGACGTTGGCCACACCGTTGTTGTGTACTGTGAGGGACTTGCCTGTACACACCCCTCTCACCTTACTGCCTGAGATAATATCACAGTATGTCCCAGCACCCAGACACGTCTGTAGGAGCACATAATTCAGACTCGTTATGGACCAAAGAAGCAATGAGGTAGTGTCTCGTGATTTACGGACGGAGTAACGAACCTCCACCACTTCTTGCTCTGAGTGATTCAATAGGTTTAGCACTTCACCTTTAAAAAACATGACTCTCACTGGCCTTAACATGAAACACGCACTAAGAGGGTGGAAGCTCGATACTCCGTCTGCTAATAACAGCCAGTCTCTGACTGACCAGTCAGGCCAGTGATACAAGTAGTATTTATTTCTTAAGAGCCAACAATTACACCAAAGCTTCTCGAATTCACGGTTTAACGATTTCTTGTCAATATAGCAACAATAAATAATAATAATAATCGTCAATATTTTAAGATGACTAATCTCTCTAGGGAACTGGGTGATTGACCTCTTTCAGTTTATCTTTTTAATCTATTTTCCATATTTCTAAGAAAAAAAATCCAAGTTTTCAACCTTCTACATGACATATAGCCATCGGCAGCATTTGTGAATATTTAAAAGGTTATAAACAGATGCAAAATTACCTATCCCAACCTACAATTTATTTAATATGGAAGACTACGAGACTTGACAAAAATTTTGGCTACCAGACGTACTGTATTTGCTATTCAGTTTCAGTCACATTTCCCTACACAACTAGGCTTATCCAAACTGCAGAATGTACCTAATGGTTATGTGTACCAGTGAATATGAATGAAACTGTGAACGTGATACTTGGAAATAATCATTCTGAAAAAAAATGCATCCAGCAGTTGATTATGAAAATAAGAAAACATGAGCTAGAGGTTTAAAATATAGGTGTTGTGGGCACAAAGATAGTGTTTCCCAACAGCTGGGTTAATAAAGTCTTGCCATTTTCTTTCACATATTGGTCTATCTCATCCTTCACGCTCACCTCCCAAGGGTTTTCTCCTGTACATAAAGCTGAGCTAACTATGGTGGTGTCGGCAGACATTCACAAGATAACAGAGTCAAAAGATATGATTTATTTTCACTGGTGGTCCTTGAACGTTTTGTGATACAGTCACTTCTTCCTTAATTCTGTTTCTTGACCAGTGATCCTCCTGCTGTCGCTGCTGGTGCATTAAGAACTCAGCAGCCAAAATCAGAATGGTCATTCAAATTCAAAAACATTTTTTATTGCTTTATATGCTGTACAAAGATAATGTAGTTTACATGTAACAAAACACTGTTAGGCACAAAGGAAAACCACTAGTATGCAAATGCATTTCAGGCAACCTAATCTTTATGCTTAAAAACTACTTAAGAATTAGATAGACTATTAATAAAAATTGTATAGAGCTAACTAAATTATGTGAATCATAGGCTCATCTTGGGCACAATAATTATTTTCCTTACTTTGTTGGTTGAAGCCACTTCTCGAACAGATCCAAAAATATTTTTAATATAACACTTGTATCACGTTATTAATATCTTTATTATGCACCACATACGCATTCTGTGGGCAGTAGTTAAAAGATTACAGAGGCACATAATAAGTTCAGGGACTGGGCCGCAAAGTTTTGATAGCTGAACAAGTTATAGTGGTAATGAACCACTTGTTTATATCTGGTTGCAATCATGAATTATATATTTATATTTATGTATTCTTAACATTTGTGTGACCAGATGTTAACAAATGTGAAGAATACTTAAATATACATGATAATCTCCTTGACGAGAATTTACTATTCTCTATTCTTTGTTGGCAGCGCATTCAGATCACATACTAAGTGTTCGTGGTTCGATCCCCGGCAAGGGTAGAAATGTTGGGCATGTTTCCTTACACCTGCTGCCCCTGTTCATGTAGCAGTAAGCTGGTACCTGGGTGGTAGCGGGTCGCATCCTGGGAAATAGTAGTATACCTTAGACAGAGCCGGGCTTTCAAATGAGCTGAGGTAGGATAACAGCTCTTAGCTTGTAAAATTGATTTGTGTAAAAAAAAAAAAGCTCACAAATTGTAAATTAATATATTACGTATTACATCAGTAATATATGTAAATAGCCTTCATTTTACTTTAATATATTATCGTGTATTATATTTAAATACGTGTTAATAATGAAAAAATACGTAATTACTGACCTGCCCGAAATGCTCTGCATAATTAGGGGCTTTCTATAAAATATGTCAATATGCCCATTCCGAACCAACTGTAAACCATGGCTTGTAAAAATAATTTATTATTTTTAAATTTATCATGAACCTGTGTGCCAACAAAACATTTTCCTTTTATTTAGCTTTGTCCATGATCTTTTACATATAGCCTGTATTACGTATTCTTCGTATAATAGATTGGTTTTTAAAGCATATATACAACGAACAAGTATTCTCCGTGTACACAGGGTATGTATATAACGAGATGTGTGTGTGTATCTGTATGTACGCTGAGAGAGTAGTACGATATTAATTGAAGATTGAGACACTTATGCAGCATATGGGAATCTTTATTCAGGAAACGTTTCGCCACACAGTGGCTTCATCAGTCCAATACAAAGAGGAAGGCGTACGGAGAGGAGGAGAATGAGGTAATCAGTCCCTCAACCTGGAGTCGATGTGTTCAGTCCATCAATCTTGATGGACTGAACACATCGACTCCAGGTTGAGGGACTGATTACCTCATTCTCCTCCTCTCCGTACGCCTTCCTCTTTGTATTGGACTGATGAAGCCACTGTGTGGCGAAACGTTTCCTGAATAAAGATTCCCATATGCTGCATAAGTGTCTCAATCTTCAACTTGTCGGTTTTTCAAACCATTCATCACGATATTAATTGATGGAGAACAGGTGACATGCAGCCTTCAAGACCTTCGTGTGGTCGATAGGCTTTAAACCTATTAAACTAACAACTCTCAGAAGAATCTAAAAATTTATAAACCCATTAAATACTATTATTTTAACTGATTTTTTAATTGTTATTTTAATTTAATCAAAAAATAATATTCCTGATAAATTATTTTCTTGCACATAAGACTTTATACAGAGAGGATGAGTGACGTATATTGCATGAATTATTGTCCCTTAAATATGACTGTAATGGAGATTTGAATATTTTTTTTATTTATTTGCATTAACTTATTTTTAAACAGAAGCATGCTGTTTTCCCACCAATGGTTTGAGTATACAAATATTGATCACAAACCAATGCATTTTTTTTATTATCAAAATTATATACATTACAATATAATGTGTGCAGTATAATGCTCAACTTAGTTCTCGGCGAGTGTGGTTGTTTGATAGTATATGACAAAATATACTTATATATGTTTTCTGATATTGTTCAAGCAATCTCTGAAATTTGTGTCAACTTCGCATACTAAGGTTTTAATTTAATATTTTCTCTTTAATAAATTAAGCAAAATAATTCTTTTATTTCAGCAAATATTTTCCGCCCTTTTAGCACAAACCAGTAAAAAAATAGGAATGCTAATAAGTTAGATGTTGGTGTACTAGGATACACTGACCTGCAGGGTTTCCTTGAGGTCCCAACTGTCGTTGTTTATAGCGATAAAACCTTTATTTCCTCTGCAGAAGGCAATCTGATTGCTCCCATTGTCCCACCAGTCATTCATGTCAGTGCCTGGGTGGAGATGAGGAGGCAATAATGTTAGTGACGGGGAGACAAAATATAATATGTCAGCGTCTTGGGGATAAAGGTTTCGAGTGTATTAGTGCCTGAGAAGAGGATATAAGGAATAAGGGCACCAGGTGTAAGGGGATTTGCCTATGATGAAAACACATAACTGAGTAGGAAACACAGCAAAACAGTAGGAATAAGGAAGGTTATGTAATAATAAAACAAGTGAAATGTCACGTACCGTGAGCAACATTACGAAAATGGACCATGTTGTAGATCTGTCTCCAGCGGTGCTCACAGATCCAGTCGTTGCCGCAGCTGTCATCAGCGTTGATGCTGGGAGAGATGATGTTAGAGTTGTCGTTGTGTGGTGGACCTACCCAGTCGTTTTTATCCTTGCCATTGACCAAGTTTTGTTCCCAGTAGTACGAAGACATGACTCGGGTGAAGCCGTAAGGGTACGCCAGCATGAAGGCGTTTGCCATCTGCATACGCAACCGGGACGTTAAAGCCTTACAGCCAGTGAGGAGTAGCTATTGTTACGAACCATGAAGATAGTGATTTATCTGAAGATAATTACCCCCTGAGATATCCAGCACTCACCTTATACCACCTGGAGTCACGGAAGGTGAGGATCATGTTACCCCCCGCTCCATGACCTCGTTGGTTGTCGTGGTTATCAACAAAGACGAGAGCTTCATGGCGATCCACCATGCCCCAGCCTTCACCGAAGTTTCTCAACCATCGCAGCTGATTCTGTCCACGAAAAGCCTCTCCCAAGAACTTACCATACTTGAATTCTGTCACACGACCAATACTAGTGTATTCTTTCTTTGTTATGGCCTCTCCACCTGATGCAGCGAACGCAAAATTATTGAAGAAGCGTTAGAGTAGGTTTTCCACTGAACACTGGCGTTTGATAATAAATTATGAGTTATTCACCATTTGCAGACAAATAGCAGCTATCCCAAAGTCTAGCGCAAGCTATGGAAAACCACCTCCCAAGATGCCACTCACAACAGCTGACTAACACCTAGATACCTATTTACTGATAGGTAAACAGGAACAGCAGGTCTCGAGTAACTACCAATAAATATCGCCGAATTCTCTCGACAATAAGCTAGAATTTTGTATAGTGATAGCTATTCGTGGAAACAATACAGATATGACTTCTACGCCTAAATGGTTCATACATAATAGTGAAGGCTTACCTAGATCGATGACCTCTTGGAAGATAAAGGGGCGGGCTGTCTTAGGGAAGTAAGTCGTGGTGAGATTCTTTAGCCGACCAAATATAATCTGGGGTGGAAGGAAGCCATATATTTAGCATTTCAATATATTTTTACTTTTAAATATTTAGGAACTTTAATTTCTTCTTATTATTATTATTTTGATTCAGGGATATAATATATATATATATATATATATATATATATATATATATATATATATATATATATATATATATATATATATATATATATAATTATATATAATGATAATATTTTAAGTGTTTATATGATTTCTCACATCAAGGACCAACAAAAATAATAAAACAACAAAGACTTAAAAAAAAAGCAGAGATGTGACTTCACATATGCCCTTGTAACGCTGAGCGCGGAAGATACATTTCAGTGTTCTCAGGCTTTTAATCAGGTCAGATGTCAGGTAAAATTTAAGGAGTGACATATGAGATAATGGGGAATTTTGCCAATATAACTTTTAATCCAGACAAATTTATGTACACTATTATACCTGGACCTGGAGAGAGTTCCGGGGGTCAACGCCCCCGCGGCCCGGTCTGTGACCAGGCCTCCTGGTGGATCAGAGCCTGATCAACCAGGCTGTTGCTAATGGCTGCACGCAAACCAACGTACGAGCCACAGCCCGGCTGATCAGGAACTGACTTTAGGTGCTTGTCCAGTGCCAGCTTGAAGACTGCCAGGGGTCTGTTGGTAATCCCCCTTATGATGAATATAATTTGATGAATATAGATGAATATAATTTGCGCAATCCTGGACTTATACTGAAATTGTAATCAGTACTTTTTTTATAAAGCTTTATTTTGATAGATTTCATTCTGCCACTGCTTTGTTAGAGTATTCTTCAGACTTCTGAAAATCAAAAGGCCGCGAAAACTGAACAAGAAAATCAATGGTTCAATGAAATATATTAGAATTAAACTTTTATAAAAAAAAAGCACCGTTTACAATTTGAATATGAGTCCAGGGTTGTACAAATTGGATTCATTTATAATAAATAAAATTTGTGAGGATTAAAAGTTTTGCTGGCAAAATTCCCTGACATGTGACGTGACTATAAACTTAAGAACACTGGAAATGTATCTCTCACTCTCAAGTAAGGTCATAGGTGAGGTCACATCTGTTTTAAGCCTTCTGTTGATTTATTGCTTTTGCAGTTCGTTGATAATGTGAGAAATCACGAGTCTCCACCATTCTTTGCGTTCAAAAAGCCCACATATATTTAGTGTTTCATGAATTACAATACAGTCTGACCTTCAAGTCAACTGGCCACATGTGTTTGGCAGCATCAATCCTGAACCCGGCCACGCCCCACTGGATGAGTGTATTCATGTAACCTAGTATGTTCTCGCGCACATGCTCACTGCTCTGGTTTAGGTCATTAAGCGCTACTAACTTGCAGTTGCGAACCTGATGAGGGAACATTAAGTTTACTTGATTATAATAAAGTTGGTAGAATTACCGACAATATGTAATGGTAATGGCTTGATAAAGCTCCTGGAGAGCGAAATGTTGCCACAATAAATGTCACATTAGTTGCACTTGTGTCCTTTTACTTTACATACTTACTTGATTATAATAATTATTTCCAGTATTTTAACTATAATAATTACTACTGCAGGAATTATTGTATAATTCGTATATTAGCTAATATCTTTAGCACACCTTTTTTTAACTAGGCAAGATTTGATACATTAGCAATGTGTTGCTACCCTTTTTTGTGTGATGTTTACATAGTGGAAACAAAAAGCTAACTTTATAAATTTCTGACATGTAACTTCAGAATAGGCTCACATACTTAGTCAAGTGATAAGGCAAGCCTGAGTTGAGACATCAGTAGGGCAAGGAGGGTATATTCAAGCATTCTTCCATCGCTAAAGGCACTTCACAGTTTTATTGGGAGTTAGTTACGTGTTATTGGAAGTTATTTACTTGTCACTTCAAGTACGTGACAGTGTTATAGGAAGTTACTGATAATTGAGGTTCTTTAAGGAATTACGATGTGAATTTGTTTATTCATATTCACGCGCTGAGTGTCCGTGGTTCGATTCCCGGTTGCCTTGCGTTGTCAAGCAGGTACCTGAGTGTTAGTCGACAGGGTGGCTAACCCTCCGGGATTAAAAATCCGAACAAAATCTTATCTCAGGGACAGCTCGACTTCGAATTAAAAAAAATATATATATTTGTTTTTATTGAACTATAATTCACAATAACCCACACTTAAGAGGAAACCGTAGACTTTTCGGTCCATTCTAAACAATTATCAAGTCTTAACTGTTGTGACTTTAAAATTATCCGGGACGAACCGACGGCATCGTTTTCATTCTTGTTACGTGGTTTAGGTATGAATTGTTTTAACCACGGTATTGTGAGTTTTACTTCCTCCTTACCTGATTGCCATCGCTGTAGGTTTCAATATTACCAGAAGCAGTGGGACAGATATCGTTGTTAAAATCCTTGGCTGAGTAGGGCACGGCTGGATAGGAGAGAGCCTGGGCATCGAAGGGGGAGCCACCGGTGGCTGGTGTGCCCCTGGGCCACCCACCAGTCATGTGGTTGATAACAGCATCCACATAGATCCTGCCAGTCACACCACCTTAGTTAGTGTTAGGTGTAGAGCCTGTCGCAGTTTCACCTGTATACTAGCATCAAGAATATTTCAATATCTAGAATAGTCCAGTGGGCAACGGTAAACAATATGATGTTCAATGAGGACAAATTCCAACTACTCCGTTATGGAAAACTGGAGGAGATAATAACTGGAACAGAGTATACTACAGACTCTGGCCATACAATAGAGCGGAAAAATAATGTAAGGGACCTGGGAGTAGTAATGTCTGAGGATCTCACTTTCAAGGATCACAACAGTGCCACGATCGCACTTGCAAAGAAAATGATAGGATGGATAATGAGAACGCTCAAAACGAGAGATGCCAAGCCAATGATGATCCTTTTCAAATCACTTGTTCTCTCTAGGCTGGAATACTGCTGTACATTAACATCTCCATTCAAAGCAGGTGAAATCGCAGATCTAGAGAGTGTACAGAGATCCTTTACTGCACGTATAAGTTCTGTCAAGCACCTTAACTACTGGGAACGCTCGGAAGCACTTGACTTGTACTCGTTGGAACGCAGGAGGGAGAGATATATCATAATCTACACTTGGAAAATCCTGGAAGGAATGGTCCCAAATCTGCACACAGAAATCACTCCCTACGAAAGTAAAAGACTGGGCAGGCGATGCAAAATGCCCCCAATAAAAAGTAGGGGCGCCATTGGTACACTAAGGAAAAACACCATAAGTGTCCGGGGCCCAAGACTGTTCAACAGCCTCCCATCAAGCATTAGGGGAATTGCCAATAAACCCCTGGCTGCCTTCAAGAGAGAGCTGGACAGATACCTAAAGTCAGTGCCGGATCAGCCGGGCTGTGGCTCGTACGTTGGACTGCGTGCGGCCAGCAGTAACAGCCTAGTTGATCAGGCCCTGATCCATCGGGAGGCCTGGTCATGGACCGGGCCGCGGGGGCGTTTATCCCCGGAATAACCTCCAGGTAAGGGTATATACACTGATGAAAAATACCATATTTAAAAATTCGACGGAACGGGAGAAATTGAGCGCCTTCACGAGTTACATTTTTTTCCCTTGGTGGCTTTGTCATAGTTGAAGTCGTGCGTTTTAGTGATTTCCTCCCAAAAACACTGATATCGCAGAGTCACTTATTTGCTCAGAACTGCTAAATGCCTCAAATGTAGTTGAAGTTTTAGCAGTAAAGATCGAGAACCAAAATCTGGTCATTGTAGTAGTTTACAAGCCTCCAGATACAACGTCCCAACAATTCCAGGAACAGCTACTGAAAATTGACCACTGTCTGGAAACTCTTCCAGCTCCTGCCCCAAACATCTTGCTCCTGGGGGATTTCAATTTAGGGCACCTAAAATGGAGGAATATAGCAAATAATGTTGTTGCAGTGATAACACTAGGAGGCAGCTCAGATGAGAACTCACACACACACACACACGAGCTTTTAAATCTCTTCACAAAATTCACCTTAAACCAGCAAATAATAGAGCCTGCTAGATTGGAGAATACACTGGACCTCATCTTCACTAACAATGATGATCTGATACGAAATGTCACCATATCAAAAACAATATACTCAGATCACAACATAAACGATGTTCAGACATGTATGCGCGGAGCCCCAGACCGACAAAATGTGATTAGTCACGAGGGAGCATTCACCGAATTCATCTTCAGTAACATGAAAATAAAGTGGGACCAAGTAAACCAAGTCCTAAATAATATAAGCTGGGAAGATAGCCTAAGCAACACAGACCCCAACTTATGCCTAGAACAGATTAACTCTGTGACACTCGCTGTATGCTCAAGGCATATTCCTTTAAGAAAAAGGAGGAGTAGATGTAAAATAGAAAGAGACAGGCGGAGCGCTACCTTTACAGGCGAAGGAAAAGAATAACAGAGCGGCTAAAAGAGGCCAATATATCTGCAATGCGTAGGGAGACACTGGTCAGAGAAATAGCAAACATCGAACTAAAGCTAAAGGAATCTTATAGGAGTCAGGAATCGCGGGAAGAACTAAAAGCCATAAATGAAATCGAAAGAAACCCAAATCAAATGCCAAATCAAAATCGAGAACAACATCCAGTATTAGGCCCCTATTTAAACAAGATGGGTCCTACACAGATGACAGCAAGGAAATGAGTGAGCTACTCAAGTCCCAATATGACTCAGTTTTTAGCAAGCCGCTAACCAGTCTGAGAGTCGAAGATCTAAATGAATTTTTTACGAGAGCCACAGAATTTGGAAAACACAAGCCTATCTGACGTTATCCTGACGCCAAACGACTTCGAACAGGCGATAAATGATATGCCCATGCACTCTGCCCCAGGGCCAGACTCGTGGAACTCCGTGTTCATCAAGAACTGCAAGAAGCTCCTATCACATGCTTTTAACATCCTGTGGAGAGGGAGCATGGACACTGGGGTCGTCCCACAGTTACTAAAAACAACAGACATAGCCCCACTCCACAAAGGGGGCAGTAAAGCAATAGCAAAGAACTACAGACCGATAGCGCTAACATCCCATATCATAAAAATCTTTGAAAGGGCCCTAAGAAGCAAGATCGCCACCCATCTAGATACCCATCAGTTACACAACCCAGGGCAGCACGGGTTTAGAGCAGGTCGCTCCTGTCTGTCCCAACTACTGGATCACTACGACAAGGTCCTGGATGCACTAGAATGCAGATGTAATATACACAGACTTTACAAAAGCCTTCAACAAGTGTGACCATGGTGTAATAGCGCACAAAATACGTGCTAAAGGAATAACAGGAAAAGTTGGTGGATGGATCTATAATTTCCTGACAAATAGAGCACAAAGAGTAGTAGTCAACAAAGTAGTCTGAGGCGGCTACGGTGAAAAGCTGTTCCGCAAGGCAGCACAATACTTGCTCCAATCTTGTTTCTCATCCTCATATCAGACATAGACAGGGATATAAGCCACAGTGCCGTGTCTTCCTTTACAGATGACACCCGAATCTGCATGACAGTGCCTTCCATTGAAGACACTGCAAGGCTCCAGGCGGACATCAACCAAATCTTTCAATGGGCTGCAGAAAACAATATGAAGTTCAACGATGAGAAATTTCAATTACTCCGATATGGTAAACGTGAGGAAATTAAAACTTCATCAGAGTATAAAACAAATTCCAACCACACAGTAGAGCGAAAAACTAACGTCAAAGACCTAGGAGTGATCATGTCGGAGCGTCTCACCTTCAAGGACCACAACATTGTATCAGTCGCATCTGCTAGAAAAATGACAGGATGGATAATGAGAACCTTCAAAACTAGGGATGCCAAGCCCATGATGACACTTTAGGTCGCTTGTTCTATCTAGGCTGGAATATTGCTGCACACTAACAGCACCTTTCAAGGCAGGTGAATTTGCTGACCTAGAAATGTACAGAGAACCTTCACGGCGCGCATAACAGAGATAAAACACCTCAATTACTGGGAACGCTTGAAGTTATATATATATATATATATATATATATATATATATATATATATATATATATATATATATATATATATATATATATATATATATATATACACTGATCTCTGGCTGAAGGAGACTCGAACCTTGGAACAAGGTACGCAGTGCTTTACCAATCTACCCACACTGGACCAATACCTTGGAGTCCAGCTTGCGCTAGACTTTGATCCAAGGCAGCCAGTTTTCAGGGAGAAGGCTTACAGCTTTTCATCTCCAGTGTGGGTAGATTGGTAAAGCACTGCGTACCTTGTTCCAAGGTTCGTAACTGTAAAATATGACATGACTAATACTTCTTTGTAGCAATGTAACAATGCCCAACGGGGTCTGGCAAAGACTCATCGACCTGTGTAATCCTGGTGTCTTGCGCCGCCGCTCACATGATGAGCATGGGGTACTCATACAGCACAACGAAGACAGATGATCTTTGAAATCAGTGGAGGTAGGATAACAGGTGAAAACGAAGACACATCTTACCTGACTCCGACGTTGTTACAGCGGGTAACCATGTTCCTGAAGGTAGCCTCGTCGCCAGAACGGGAAGCGATCTTGTAAGAGACAGGTTGGTAGCGTTCCCACCAGGGACGGTGCTTCTCCTCCAAGTGTGCAACCACGTGCTCGTTAGGCGGAGACACCTGCAAGATACTAACACATGAAGAATGAGACACTTGTGTAACATGAATATTTATTGTTACACAAGTGTCTCATTCTTCAACATGTCAGTTTTCTGAACCATTTACATCACATAAAGATAATATTATGTTAAGTAGGTATGTACCTGGACGCCACCATAGCCTCGTGGAGCCAGGAATCTCTCACACTCGTCAGCGATGTCCTCCCACTTCCACTCGAAGAGATGAACTATCACCTAGAAAAAATGTATTATGCAAATGTTTTAAGGAAAGGAAAATATAGTAGTTCATAATTCCATTTAAAATTATATGTATATATATATATATATAATATATATATATATATATAATATATATATATATATATATATATATATATATATATATAATATATATTCTTCTTTCAACACACCGGCCGTATCCCACCAAGGCGGGGTAGCCCAAAAGGAACAACGAAAGTTTCTCCTTTTACATTTAGTAATATATACAGGAGAAGGGGTTACTAGCCCCTTGCTTCCGGCATTTTAGTCGCCTCTTACGACACGCATGGCTTACGGAGGAAGAATTCTGTTCCATTTATTTATATATATATATATATATATATATATATATATATATATATATATATATATATATATATTATATATATATATATATATATATATATATATATATATATATTATATATATAATATATATATATATATATATCGCCTGGAGAGGGTTTCAGGGGTCAACCCCCCGCGGCCCGGTCTGTGATCAGACCTCGTGGTGGATCAGGGCCCGATGAACCTGGCTGTTACTGTTGGCCGCACGCAACCCGACGTACGAACCTCAGCCCGGCTGGTGAGGTACTGACTTTAGGTGCCTGTCCAGCGCCTTCTTGAAGACAGCCATGGGTCTATTGGTAATCCTCCTTATGTATACTGGGAGGCAGTTGAACAGTCTTGGACCACTGACACATTGTGTTGTCTCTTATCGTGCTAGTGGCACCCCTGCTTTTTGAAGGGATGTTGCATCGTCTGCTGAGTCTTTTGCTTTCATAGGGAGTGTTATATATAATCACCGCAGTTTGTGTTCGTGTGTTTTTTTTTTTTTAGCAGTTTGTTAAAAAACAGGATTGGGTTCTTCAAAGGGCAAGAGCTTACGTGAGTTCAATGAATATATATTTTTTTCTTTCAAAGGTGGCGCATCGATCCAAGGACCTGAAGCTACGCTTGCCTTTCTTGGATCAAACCTGATTACCTATTCTTCAGGCGGTGTATGATTCCTAAGGGGTTAGCGTTCTCCTTTGAAAATAATAACAATAATAATAATAATAATAATAATAATAATAAGAAGAAGAAGAAGAAGAAGAAGAAAACGAATATAGCAACAATGTTTATCGGTGAATTATTATAAATATATACAAGATATATATACGTTGATAGATGTATTTCTCTCAGGTATATACAATGAGAGTTTAATCTCGATTTTAGGGATTAAAGTTCGTCTGGTGGGAAACTAGGTTACGTGCATAACCCTCGTCTAATAGACAGCTTTTAAAACCCATTAAACCAACCAAACATAAACATAACATTTGTGAAATTATTTGGTTTTGAGGTACCTGCCTGTTGTCCCAGACATTAGTATGCCACTGAGCTTGTGTGATAGATAACACCAGCCACAACACTGGAACAATCATCCTTGCTGCTTGATTATTCTGTAATGAGACATTAATTTAGTATACAAGCCTATAATATTAATAGTAATAATAAATATATAATAATATTCACAGATGAGGGAACACAATTTCATCCCATAGGCTTTCTGGTTATTTTATATTTTGTAAATGCAGTGATTGGAAATAATCTAAATCTGTGTAAAGTAAAAGGACACAAGTGCAACTAATGTGACATTTTTGTTGTGGCAAAATGTCACATTAGTTGCACTTGTGTCCTTTTACTTTACATATTGTCGGTAATTCTACCAACTTTATTACAATCTAAATCTTACACTTAAGGCATCTTCACTGAATACGGTCCTGAGACCTTGGTCTGTAAATGATAAAAGAATGGCCATGGTCGCAGGACCGAAACGTATCCAGTATAGATGACCTAAGTTTATGTACTTGGTTCATTCATCCATATTGCTGGTATCAATATACCCTCTACCTCCAGTATTAAAATAATAATAATAATAACATATCGTGCCCATAGTAGTAACCAGTAATTATAATGAATATAGTTCACATTAAGGTAGGTGCAACATTTTATTCCTAAACCACAAATCTGAAACGAAAACTTTACGACGTTTTTGGAAGTTTCAAATTGTTGGTTAGTTGTGAATTAATAACTATATTCTGTTGAATAATGTTTACCTGGTCTGTCCTGTCTGTGTTGATGGGAAAGTTCGGAGATGACAAGTTATTATGGTAATGTGTCTATGAGAAGTGTCTGTCCACATGAAAAACAACCAGACGCTGTGAAGCTTCCCAGCTACACTGATCCCACCCCTCAAGGAAGGTTCCTAGATGCTGATGAGGGGCTCTTGATCTAGGGAATTGGATCTGTGCTCCAGTTCCCCGAATTAAGCCTGAATACCTTCCACATCCCCCCACAGGCGCTGTATAATCCTACGGGTTTAGCGCTTCCCCTTGATTATTATAATAATAATAATAATAATACACTGATTCCAGCTAAACTGGTTGCACAAGTTACGAGTAGCGTGAACTTGGAGTTGTGTAGCTTCTCCAGCAGATGGACGGACGCTGCTCAAGTTGACAAGTGTGAGAGGCCACACAACACAGGATGTTACTCACATGATACTCTATCCTGGGTACAACCAGGATAGTGTTGGAAAGGTAAATATTGAGACACAGTTACTTTGTTAGATTTAAAGCCTAGTGAAAAAAAGACGGTATTTGGGTAATTAAGGTGGATTTCACCTGTTCAGTTGCGTCAAAAATGTCTTAATCACTACAATAAATATTAAGACATAGTGTTACATAATGAGAGATATTTACATTTCATTAATTTCCATTACGTTAGTGTATTTTGGGTTTGAATTTTCAGGTAATTCTTTACAAACTTACCTCTTCATAATATATTTGGAGTTTTAGTGAAGCTTGACGATATTCCCACGAAAATCAGGAAAAAAAATCTCTCTCCCTCTTTCTCTCTCTCTCTCTCTCTCTCTCTCTCTCTATCTATCTATCTATCTATCTATCTATCTATCTATCTATCTATCTATCTATATATATATATATAAGCTCTCTTCACATGAATATAACTGGGCTATTTATATATACATTACACAAGAACTTCCAAGGATGTAACTGATATGTTAATCAGATAAGATGCATGATATTATTGTTGATATGTTTGTCTCTTATATAAATGCTGATTTATAACACTAATGTAGCTTAATTAACATACTCAGCAGTTCAACATAAGAAAGAGTTTAACCACCAAGATGCGAATATATAAAACTTTGTTACCTTCTACAAGGTTAAACTTTATATTCTGCTAAATCCGGCCAAAATAAGAATACGTAATCGCGTGTTTGAGTGACCTTGGAAAGGTAAGACAGTTTCCTTGACTTTGATAACTTGGAGGGAGAGAGAGGAAAAAAACACAGTTGGTAAATATATATCATCGTGAATGACAAAACACCTGAAAATTTCACAACGATATCCGATTATAGCACAAAAACACTGCATGACAAGCACAGTATTTCAGTAAGTCAATAAATCCTGTACAACTTATTGATGTAATTAAACTTTAGGATTTCCATACTTTACAGTAGAGTGCACAATACACTGACCTAAATGACAAGGTTCAGACAAAGCAGCTGCCTTATGATAAACATAAGATTCTTCCGTAACTTGTTTGTCCAATACTCTACAGAGGGACACTCCTTAACTCACACTTTGCCTTCTAAAAAATGACTGTAAACTTTTCCACTAATTATGAAAATGGTATACAATATAGGCAAGCAGACGAGTAAGACAAGTGCAACAGATGGGTATCTCTCTCCTACTTAGATCTTCATACAACAGTATATATGAGTGAGCAGGACACCACCTCGGAAGAGGTTGAGCTGACCACCAACTCCAGCAAGTATTTTGCAACCAGCCCAAGTAACCTGCCTCCTGCGTTAAAAAACAAAAATAGTGAAAACTATACCCACTACGAATTCACTGCCACACATGTATGTAATTTATATACATGTGTGCTGCTAACGGATGGTGTGATATACCCCATCGAATGATTATTATGAATAACACAACACACCCATAAGCTTTTCAATAACACAACACACCCACACCTTTTTCTATAACACAACACACTTTTATCAGTAACACAACACACCTCTATCAATATGCACCAAAGTGGTTGGGCCACTTACCTTTATTACCCCCCTCACCCCAACCCACCCTTTTCCCACATTCCATCTTAACCTATTCTTCTTCCTCCCCCAACTTACCGAACCTCTGGTGGAAGCATCGCATCGCAGTTATTTTGAAGTTACTTGCAGACAGCTGGGTTACGTCGTCGGCTCGTCAGACTACAAGGCTGTCCTCATCTCACTTAATATCTCGATAGACTGATAGAAAGAATCAGTTATCATGACCTGGCTGTGGAAAAACTGACCAGCCTTGTGCTTATAATTTGCCACCATGAAACTGAACCACCTTACTTCGGAGTGATGGTGGAAACCATTATACGTGAAATGCAGCAGAAAAAGCTAAACACATAACATGAAGAAGTAACGAAGAACATTGTTCCTCACCCCACAAGAATCTTCACAGACAACCTTTTCGTTGTATGGAATAAGAACTCACATGCTGGGTCGTTATTAGGCGAAAGCTGCTAAAAAAAAAACACTGACACCAGATATAGTGGTCACTTCTATACATCACAAAATCTAGTGGAAGGAAATGTTGCAACCAGAAATACAGTAAACGCTGATGTACCTGGCAGCACAATTTCGCTTCCAATATGCAAGTCCTAGATCCAGCTGGTGAATCTAGACAGCAAACTGCAGAAACTGTCAGTGTTGTCGCAGATCACAATTAAAACAAGAAGTCCATCTCATTAAACCATTGATGTGGGAAAGAGCTGACGTCTTTCACAGTTTAAATGTAGATGAATGGTTCAGAGAACCGACATGTTGTTGAATAAGACACAAGTGCAACTCTTGGGTATCTTTATTGAGGAAACGTTTCGCCACATAGTGGCTTAATCAGTCCATACTCAGGAGAAACTTGAAGAACAGGAGGAGAATGAGGTAATCAGTCCCTCAACCTTGAATCGAATAGAATACGGCATATGAGCGGAGAAGCAGCTTATAAACCGTAGACAGGTGAGGGGCAGCAGTCGTAGGTGGTGTCACATTTGTCCAATGTGGAAGTAGGTCGTGCCCAAGGGTTAGGCAAGTGAAGAATTCCCAAGTATTAAGATCCCAAGAAGTTGCAGTGTCTGACAGGATTGTAGATGAATTTCAGAGAACCGACATGTTGTTGAATTAGACACAAGTGCAACTCTTGGGTATCTTTATTGAGGAAACGTTTCGCCACACGTTTTGCCTAACCCTTGGGCACGACCTACTTCCACATTGGACAAATGTGACACCACCTACGACTGCTGCCCCTCACCTGTCTACGGTTTATAAGCTGCTTCTCCGCTCATATGCCGTATTCTATTCAAGATTGATGGACTGACCACATCGATTCAATGTTGAGGGACTGATTACCTCATTCTCCTCCTGTTCTTCAAGTTTCTCCTGAGTATGGACTGATGAAGCCACTGTGTGGCGAAACGTTTCCTCAATAAAGATACCCAAGAGTTGCACTTGTGTCTAATTCAACAACAGTTTAAATGATTATTTTTTTCTACAAGACAAATGTAATTCAGATCACAAAATCAATAGCCGGGATATTGTCAGTCACTGTAACCAGCTGCCACTGCTCTTAGTTACTGGGATTATTTTGGAAATTTCATTTTTACTGTCATTGTTACTGTGTGACTATCTTGATGAACCTCTCCACTATGTTGCCCAGTCACTAGGTGAACCTCTCCACTATGTTGCCCAGTCACTAGGTGAACCTCTCCACTATGTTGCCCAGTCACTAGGTGAACCTCTCCACTTGTTGAATGCTCCTTGCACAGACTGTGTAACCTCCACATGTTGGTCCATACTAGTATCGCCCTGTTGCCAGTAATCTTCTTTGTTGCCCGTTGTGAACCCTCCACTATGTTGCAGTCACTGTGAAACCTCTCCATATGTATACTAGTAACTTCAATATGTTGAAGTATAGGTGAATATCATATGTTCCAGAAGGTGAACTCTCCTATTTCTTAGGTAACTTACTATCCCATAGAAACGTCTCATTTTATATATAATCCAATATATTGCATATTGAGGAACTCTCACTATGTTGCCCAGTCATTAGGTGATCTCACTATGTGCTCAATCCTATGAAACTCTCACATTTGAGTAACTATAACCTCTCAACTAGTTGCATACTACTAGGTGTATATTTCCCGTACTAGTGAACCTCTCCATATATTTATCTAGTATTACTTTCAGTTCATAGAAATTTTGCAGTCCTATAAATCTCGATTTTATAAAACTCATAGGATGCAGACTAGGGGAACTTTATGTTCATACTATAGTTCCTTCCTATTGTCATCACTAGGTGAACCTCTCCATCTGTGCCAGTCACGGGGAATTCCACTGTCCATCACTGTGACAGATATTGCCGCACTGCTGAAGCAACTTTGAGTACTGGGGTACCTCTCCACTAGTGCCAGTCCTGGTAACTCTCCACTAGTCCAGTCACTATGCCCTCCACTACCCATCACTGGGACCTCATCACTATGTTGCCCACACTATACCTCTCCACTGTTCCCATCTAAACCATGTGAGTCCAGGTGACCTTACTTTGCCACAGTACTAGGTGATCTCACTAATGTAAGTTCATAGAGTGAAAACTCATATGTTGACCTGGTGAACAATCCCACTAGTAAAGCCTATAGGAGATATTCCCTAGTTCAGTCCTGTGACTGGACATTGTGATCACTGACAGAATGTACCTCCCTTGTTCCATTTCTATTTCCTTTGGAATCTCTTTTGAGTGAGCTCGGCACTCTATGCGCTCTTTAGTCGCAAACTTAAAATAAAAGTAATATTCATAATAACTAAAGATCAAGAATGTTCTTCTATTTTTGATAAGAGTTAATCAAGAATACGTCTTTTAAAGATCCAAAAAATGTATATTGAGGAACAATTTTTGTTAACAGCCAGCATCATTAGGTTTATTACGAGAAATAATCCTAGAAATAATCACATTATTAAACAAACAACTCAAAGATAACTACTTATGTGTTTTCCCGACTTGATCTCCCATCATATATTTCTGTTTATCTTTCAGTTTAATAGAATTTTCGACCAAAAAATACGATTTATAAAAACAATGGAGGAGGAGGAGGAGGAGGAAGTGTTTGTATAACGTATATTCCTGGCACTTGTCATCACTTGACAGGGAACTTCTGCAGCTGCTGTAGCGACAGCCGAGAATTCCCTGTCATCACTTGACAGGGAACTGCCGCAGCTGCTGTAGCAACTTTTGAGTACTGTGTACCCTCCACCTAGCCATCTGTACACTTCCACCTATCCAATACTGCCCCTCCCTACCCCACTCGACCAGCTATAAATATGTTCCCAACATATTACTTCTCACTTCCCATCTAACATGGAGTCAGGTGAGTTCTTTGCCAGCAATACCTGTTCTAAATAATAAGTTTCATAAAGAAAAAAAATATCTTACCTGGAACAATTCACCACAAGAGCTAAAAGCCTTATGGAGATATTTCGTTCAGTCCTGGACCACTGTCGTGTCACACTGAGCCAATGTCTCCTGTGTCTACTCCATTTCCTGTTTCTGTTGTCGTCCAATGCTCTCCTGAAACTGGCCGCTCCCTTACTGGCAGACTTAAAGAGCACAAAAGGAGTATTTGCCTTGCCACTACTAACAAAGGTCTTTTCTGTCATGTTAAAGATTAGAGTCATACTATTAACTAGCCCTCTGATAAAACTGTATAGTACCTTTCCTTTAGCCTTCACAGACGCCGTCTTATTATATCATCCCTAATACACAACTTCCATAACATGAATCTTAATTTTGGCTTTGTTTCTGTAGATGCTTGCTTTTCTCAGTACTTTGTCAACTGCTCCAATTATCAGAAAACTTGTGAATTGGCTTGAACTTTGCCTCCTCCTCTCCTTTCCTCCTGATCTATCTTTTAAATTTCTTTGCCTGTACTGTCTTCTGGCTTCTTTCTTGTTTCCTTGTCTTGCCAGCTTTGTCCTGTAGGCCATCTGCAATTCTTCTCTGCCCCCTTAGGGACATACGTAAGGGTGTTGATATACTTTAATCTCCACCGTCTTAACATTTAATTCTCTCATTGCCCTGTCACTAGTACTGACTGGTGTGCAACACGCAGAAACAAGCGGGTATATACAGAGAAAATCGCTGAGAAAGAATCTTGTCCGTCCTAGTAGCAGTATAGAGTCCTGCTGACTGCGATCTTTCTTTCTTTCTTTCTTTCTTCTCTCTCTCTCTCTCTCTCTCTCTCTCTCTCTCTCTCTCTCTCTCTCTCTCTCTCTCTCTCTCTCTCTCTCTCTCTCTCTCTCTCTCTCTCTCTCTCTCTCTCTCTCTCTCTCTCTCTCTCTCTCTCTTCTATATATATATATATATATATATATATTATATACATATATACCAGGGTATATACACTAAGGTTGTCATTGTAGGTGTTAAGGTGTTCTTGATAATACATATGCAGGACTCACGTGCAGTAGGCAAACTTCAAACTTAATACAGTAACTAACAAGAACAAAAATTACTATACACATGCTGAGCATTTCACAACAAGCTGTGGAAAAAGGCACTTATATACAGTTCAGGACATTTATTATAGAAAACTTTTCGCCATGAATGACTGAAGAAACCACTCGTGGCGAGACGTCTCCTCTAATAAATGTTCGGAACTGTACATAAGTACGTATCTTTTTCCATCACCATACTATTTATCAGCTCACAACACACTCGCACACTCTAAACAGAAACTAGATGACGTTTCGGTCCGTCCTGGAGTTGATAATAGTTCAGGATGCACTGAAACCTCATCTAATATTCCTCTCCACTCTGCTAGCTTTAAGGGTAACTAATTGTATACTTGGAATGATCCACAGCGATGCAGAGGATGTTGGGGTTAATGTTTACGTTGGTGTTAATGGTGGCCAGTGCAAGCGCACAGCTGGACCCCCATGTGACCAATGGTCAGGTCAGTCTACCCTCTCTTTACTTCATATTACTTCTAACTTAGTCCATATTACTTCTAGCTTAGTTCATATTACTTCTGAGTTCATATTGCTTTTTCTAACTTAGGGTAAAAAAAGATATGTTGTATGGAAACTTATATTCAGTGTCCACTTTATTAGATACACCCTTCTAGTACTGATTATGGCCACTTTATTAAGTACACTCTTCTAGTACTGGCTATGGCCACTTTATTAGGTACACCCTTCTAGTACTAGATAGAGCCACTTTATTAGATACACCCTTCTAGTACTAGATAAGGCCACCCTTTACCCCCAGAACAGCTTGAATTCTTCGTTGTATGGATTCAACAATATGCTGGAAACATTCCATGTTGGCATGATAGCATCACACAGTTACTGCAGATATGTCGGCTGCACATTCGTGCTGTGAATCTCCCGTTCCACTGTATCCTAAAGGTTTACACCACATTCTGACCCCATCATCTGATTCGTCAGACTTGGCGGCGTTTTTCCAGTCTCCAGCTATCCAGTTTTGGTGAATCTGTGCCCACTTTAGCTTCGGTTTCCTGTTCTTAGCTGACAGGAGAGGAACCGGCGTGGTTTTCTGGTGGGATATATAACCCATTCACTTGAAGGTTCGACATATTGTGCGTAGATTCTAGCCACAGAAGCCTGCTCCTGAGAACAAAAGGATGACAACATTAATACACCATTTAATTACTCTTTCGTATGACGATAACTTGAGAGCCTTGAACCTGTACTCTCTTGAAAAACGTAAAATGTTTATGAATATTTGCACACATGTCAGTTTCCTTAAATGTATTAATTTCGTACCTTATTGGTGCCAATCCTATATTTCTTATGTGTGATATTACTGCAGGTCATCGTTCACCTGTTCGAGTGGCGATGGGCAGACATCGCAGCTGAGTGTGAAAACTTCTTGGGTCCAAAAGGCTACGGTGGTGTACAGGTAATTTAGTATTCGCACAAGTGTGTTGAAAGTGCTTGATACCTTGGGTCTGTGGTGGTGAACACCACAGGTGCTAAACTAGAATAAGTTCACAATTTTGCCATTATATTCCAAAGCTCATTTATTTGATTACCACTTTATTGTTCACCACAACCTATATTAGTCCCTTTTATATTATAATTTTATACTATAATTCTAACTTTAAAAAATTACCTTTATAGTACTACCTACTATCATATTCCCAAGCTCCATTATTTGATCATCACTTTATTTGTATTAGTCCCTTTTATATTGTCTCCTTTATTTTAGCTTAAAAAAAAAACAAAACAAAACTACCTTAGCTCATTATTTTACATTTGTTAAATAATTCAGGTGCTATTTTTTAGCTTAAGACTATTTACTTTGTTTTATACTTAATTCTAACTATAGATTCACTACAAATCTTATGATTACAAGCATTGATCCTGATACCAACCTCTTATTTAATGACTTAAATGAATCAAACAGTTACTGTAATTACACTGCAGAACAATCAAAGGCACTTCTCAGTGCCAACAACAACATAACTATCTTTAACTACAATATCAGATCTTTACGCAAGCATTATGATGACCTCCTAGCATTACTAAATTCCTTACATGCCAATATGTCCATCATTACACTAACTGAAACCTGGCTAAAGCCTGATACTACAGATGTCTATGCCATTCCTGGTTACACAGCCATACACAACTGTAGGCCAGACCAACAAGGGGGTGGCACAGCCATATACTACTCAGACCAACTAGAATGTATCACTAATACTTGCACAAGGGATGAACATGGGGAATATATAATAGCTAAATTCAAATCCAAATACCTACAAGAACCTCTCACATTGATAAACATCTACAGAGTTCCACGGTCAAACATTAGCCAATTTAGTCAAAACCTAGGAAGTATGATAACTGATGCACGCATGAACAAAGATCACTTACTACTCTCAGGTGACTTCAATATAAATCTCCTGCAAGACCAGGACCCACACGTTACTGAATTCACAAACACAATGAGTAACTGTATGTTACTACCAACAGTAACAAAACCTACAAGAGTTACAGAGACTAGTGTTTCCCTACTTGACCACATCTGGACCAACACCATATCCCCTTTAAAATCAGGCATAATTACAGATAATACCACAGACCACTACCCTACTTTCCTCATAACAACTCTTGGTAAACTACCCCAAGACACTACTAAAGTCACCTTCAGACTTCACAATGAGGCAGCCATTAATAACTTCACAACAGCAATAGCAAACATTGATTGGCACACTGAGCTAGAAATCTATACAGATATTGACGAATGTATTAATAATTTTCTAAAAAAGACCCAATACCTCTATAACAAGCACTGCCCTAAAAAAACTAAACAGATGACAGCTAAGAGACTGAACAGTCCCTGGCTAACACCCAGCATTCTCAAATCCATAAATACAAAACACCAATATGAAAAACAGTACAGAATGGGTCACATAACCAGAGACCAAACAAAACGTTACTCGTCAATCCTAACCAGCCTGGTAAGAAGGGCAAAAAAATTGTATTATGAGAACAGATTATCCAACTTACGAGGTGATATAAAAAAGACCTGGAAAACCCTATCAGAAATTCTGGGAACAAAAAAGATATCACGAAATAGCGAAATAAAATTAGCAAAATCAGATGAACCCCAACTCCCACCAACAGAAACAGCAAACAGACTCAATGATTTCTTCTCCATTATAGGACAAAACCTTGCCAATAAAATCCCAAGCTCAGATACCCCACCAAATGACTACCTCACCGGCAACTACCCGAACACACTGTTCCTAGCTCCGACTAACCCATACGAAGTCTCCCTTACTATCAACGCACTAAAAAACAAGGCAGGAGATTTAAATACCTTACCACCCTTTATATACAAAAAACTGTCACAAGTGCTATCACCAATCATTGCAACACTCTTTAACAAATCCATAGAATCCTCCACCTTCCCTACAGTACTCAAAATAGCAAGGTCACCCCGATCCACAAAGGAGGAGACCAAACAGAGTTGAATAACTATAGGCCAATATCCAACTTACACCCTCTCTCAAAAATCTTCGAAAAATTAATTCATAAACGAATCTACTCCTACCTTATCTCCCAAAACATACTCAACCCCTGCCAATTTGGATTCAGGCCTAATAAAAATACTAATGATGCTATTATACACATGCTAGAACATATATACACTGCAATAGAGAAAAAAAGAAGTCCCACTGGGGATCTTCATTGACTTACGTAAAGCTTTTGATACAGTTGACCATGACTTGCTCCACGTAAAATTGTCACACTATGGTATAAGAGGGCACTCCCTCAACTACCTCAAGTCATACCTCAGCAACTGAAGCCAATTGGTGTACGCAAATGGGGCAAACTCTTCTGCGCAACCAATTACAGTTGGTGTCCCACAGGGAAGTGTCCTTGGCCCTCTTCTCTTTCTCCTATACATAAATGACCTTCCAAATGCTTCGCAATTACTCAAACCCACACTATTTGCAGATGACACTACATACGTCTTCTCTCACCCGAGCCCAGTCACGCTAGCCAATACTGTAAATACCGAATTACAGAAAATATCTACCTGGATGAGGACTAACAAACTTACACTAAACATTGACAAAACCTACTTCATTCAGTTTGGTAACAGAGCTACAGATGTCCCTCTTAACATAATGATAAACGGATCACCTATCACAAAGCTAACAGAGGGAAAATTCTTAGGAATCCACCTTGATAATAGACTCAAATTTCATACACATATACAACAAATTTCTAAGAAAATTTCCAAGACTGTAGGCATACTATCGAAGATACGGTACTATGTTCCACAGTCAGCCCTCCTGGCCCTATATCACTCTCTTATTTACCCCTATCTCACCTATGGAATTTGTGCATGGGGCTCAACAACAATTAACCATCTCAGATCACTAATTACCCAACAAAAGGCTGCAGTTAGAATGATAACAAATTCTCACTACAGGCAGCACACTCCACCAATATTCAAAACACTAAACCTACTCACCATACAAAACATCCATACTTATTACTGCACCTATTACATACATAGAACACTTAACTCTGATATTAACTCTCCCCTCAAACATCTCCTTGCCAACCTCAATAGAACACATGACCATAACACAAGGCACAGATCACTCTTTGATGTTCCTCGTGTCCATCTCACACTATGCAAAAACTCAATGCACATAAAAGGCCCTAAAATCTGGAATTCATTACCTGTAAATATAAAAGAAACACTACCTGTTTATAAATTCAAGTCTCTTCTCAAAGATCACTTACTCACTCAAAACCAAATAAATACTGAATAACTGAACCTTATAAATTGTATATCTTAAATGTTTCTCAATTATATCACATAAATGTTAAACCTAAAACCCAATCTAACTTTATTATTTTTTAAATACACTACCTAACAGAATACTCCATACGACTGAATGTACAACAATGCATGCAACCATATGACCTGTCTTTGTAATACTCACTTGTGCTTTATAGTAATCTGTTTCCATTAATGTTTTATCACTGATTTCATCATTGCTTAGTTAATTTTAAGCCAGCCCGAAATGCTATGCATAGTATAAGTGGCTTTGGCATGCTGCTCTTATCTGTATTTTTTTGTACCTCGTATGTATGCTCAAATTGTAAATAAATAAATAAATAAATAAATAAATAAATAAAAAACAGGTAACTTGGTGTTCAGGAGGCAGTGTGCTAAGTGTTCTTTAACGTTGTTGATGAAAGAGATTTCATGATAGAGCGTTCGGCTCACAACTGAATAAATCTGGATTTGATTCCTGAGTTGGACGAAATGTATGGGTAAGTCTCCTTATTTAATGTCTTTGTTCACTTATCAGTAAATAACATCTGCGTATCAGGTGGGAATGTGTGGAAGGAGCGGCAGCATCTCCCTTGGATAACAAAATTAAGCGATATCAATGAAAAAAAGAACAGTTTTAGAAAAAATTCTTGGATAATCCACTGGTTATTTCATTAACATGTGTTAGTTACGTATGCTCCCATTAGTGCTTATATGGAAATTAGAGAACTAAAAATCTAGATAAATTTCTTTTCTCTCCTCCCAGAAAAGTGCCACCAGTACGTGATTGATAAACAGGTACGTGGGGTGTTTAGTCGACTGTTATGGTTCGCATCCTCAGAAGGACTCCAAAGTAAGTTAGCAAAACTGCTTGTGTTTCTTGAGTTATCTTTAGTTATTAGTCCGAACTTTGTGTTCTTCCCCGGCCAGGTGTCTCCGCCCAGCGAGAATGTTATCGTCTACCAAGACGAGAAAAGTCGGCCATGGTGGGAACGCTACCAGCCAGTCTCTTACAATATCATCACTAGATCAGGTGATGAGGCCGCCTTCAAGGACATGGTGAACCGTTGTAACAACGTGGGAGTCAGGTAAGATCTACTCACCTCAACCTTCCACATAACAAATGCAACAATGAACACCGAACAATGGTACAAATTAATTCACAAGGAAAAATAAAGAGATGATAACCCGAGTAATATACTAAATGTTTCAGCTTCATAATCTGCTGAAGAACTCTGCGAAACAAATATTAATTATTTTATTGTCAGAGGACACTATTTGCAGATTAATTAGTGTTCTCTTATAATAGTCGGAAATCCTGCCTTCCTAAATCGATATCATATATATATTTTTCTTCCTTGAAGTGTTGCACATGTGTCTCATTCATCAACTTATCAATATTATGTGTCATCAATAATGTGAAATGTGTTTGTTGTGCAGGATCTACGTGGATTGTGTGTTCAACCAGATGACTGGATGGTGGCCAGACGGGACACCCACCACTGGAGGATCAACGTTTAACTATGGCGCTCAGTCCTATCCTGGCGTCCCTTATTCTACCTTCGACTTCAACGACGCCAACTGTAACAGTGCCTCTGGCGGCATTGAAACCTACAATGATGCAAACCAGGTAGGTAGAGCGTGTTATACCGCCAGGAATACATACATACAGTATAAATGTTCGGGGAAGGAACAGCTGCATTATTAAACTGGAATAAATACGAGTGTAAAATAGAATATTTAAATCACACATTACTCCTTGGGAAAAATCTTAATACGAATTTTAAAAATCAATAAAAATTAAGAAAATTGTGAAAAACATATACTGTATTGAAAAAAAAAATGACAAAACTTGAATGTAAAATTATTAAAAGCATAAATTTAACAACAATTATGTAAGCTTAATACAAGAAAGTGATCTACTGAAAAACTTGTCGTCGTGACCAAAACCACCATTCTCTTGATACTAAAGTGATCATGCCACTTAAACTTTAAAAAAATCATAACTTTAATATTTTTATTATTATTATTATCACACTGGCCGATTCCCACCAATACTACTAAAATAATTAAAAAAATATATGACGTAATCGTCAAGTTTTTTTTTTTTGGTCATATGATCAAAAACTCCAGTCAGTGGGTCAAAACAGGACTCAGATCCGTGTTTGGAAACCCTTGTCCTGTTTCTTGACAGATTAACAACCTCCATCATCTATGTAAATTTTAAAAAACTAACAATTTAAGAAGTAACATCAATTTTATATAAATATAACATACCAGGTGCGGAACTGCAAGTTGGAGGGAATGAATGATCTTAACCAAGGGACTGACTACGTGCGTGGAGAGATCAGGGATTACCTTAATAAACTCATCAGCTTCGGTGTAGGCGGCTTCCGAGTTGACGCCAGCAAACATATGTGGCCAGGAGACCTCAAGGTAATACTTTATATTTGCACTGTGTCTATATGAACAAACACATTGAGAGATACACATCTTTCAACATATAGGCACCAAGAGTTAAACATGGCTCCCTAAATTTACTTAAAGACGAACACCTCTAAGTGTATATACACCTCTAGATGAATATACGAATAAATACGAAGCTCTTCTTAAATATATATATATTAATATATATATATATATATATATATATATATATATATATATATATATATAATATATACTTCTCGGTATATATGCCCCTTTCGGTACATACACTGTGATACTCATTATTCATGTCTTACATTACTTTGTGAGCTTATGTTCTCAGGCGATCTTCGATAGCCTTGACGACCTCAGCCAAGAGCACTTCGGGTCAGGAGCACGAGCCTTCGTCTATCAAGAAGTTATCGATCTCGGTAAGACCACAAATGTGGTTTCTTCTTAAGTAAATCCTTGATGGTTGACGAGGAAAGAGTGGTCACACTCATTCTGTGACTCAGGAGAGCCTTGACATTTTTGGATACCTCGCCAACAGAGAGAATGATGTGCCATTATATGACCATTACTGTGCAGCCCTGTTAATGCCGTAGTATGTCAGTCTCTTGCAGTCAGAAGTGACGTGTTTTTTAAACTAACGGTGTTTCAACACCTGCATAATGTCATTGCATTTACATTCCTCTTCGAGGAATTGGGCTTTGTAAATCATATGCATTCTAAAGGGAAGAGTCCGATGACGACTCCGTTATTAAACTGTTCACATGGCGAGTAAAAGTACAGCAGGTCGTGTTTTGACATAGGTAGACAGGTGTTGCGGCCTTCTAGTTGGTTGTGAGTCTTGGGACTGTAATCCATCTTGTTGAAGATAACACTCTATCTTCCCTTCGCCTCCCCCCTTTCTTTACCAATAAAACTTAGAGAGAATTTGTTTATTTATTTTGTATTAGGCCTGAAAAAAGTAGCTCGATAAGACACTGATTAAACAAATTTCGTATAAACAATGTGCAAAATATTTTTAATATCCTAGAGTCACACCTTCCTGTAAAGGATGACTAACTATAAGCACTACTGCGGCAGGAGGAGAAGCCGTCTCTAGCTTGGAGTACATCGACAATGGTCGCGTCACAGAGTTTAAATACGGAAAGTTCCTGGGCGAGGCTTTCCGTGGGCAGAACCAACTCAAGTGGCTGGTCAACTTCGGCGAGGGCTGGGGTATGATAGATCGAGCTTACTCCCTTATCTTCATCGACAATCACGACAACCAGCGAGGCCATGGAGCTGGTGGAGACATGATCCTCACCTTCCGTGTCTCGAAGTGGTACAAGGTACTCAATATATCTCATTTGTGCCCCGTGTACGACAAGCTTAATGGGATTGCCACCGATCTAGCAAAATAGTCACAGATCTAGTTTAATAGTAACAGGTCTATCTGGATAATCTGAAATTTAGTTGGATAGTACTGATCTAGTGGAATAGTCACGGATTTAGTTGGATAGTCACAGATATAGTTGGATAGCCACAGATACAGTTGGATTGTCACAGATCTATTTATATAATCACAGATGCAGTGGAATAGTCACAGATCCAGTGTAATAGTTATAGATCTAATGAAATAGCCACGGGTAATACGAAGATGATCTCTACTTGGCTGTATATCCATGACCCAGTTAAATGTCTGTCACAAGCTAGCTTTAACCATCTTAGAATAATTCTTCCCACGAATGAGGATTTGATATTAGTTCATCTAGATAACCCTTTCGCAACATATATCCCTAGGGGAATTAGGGAATTAGATAACGTCAAATTGATTATAACTAATAAACAATGGACTGAGACAAATTTAAATGTACACATTAATATCCTTTCTGTTTACTGCAGATGGCTACTGCCTTCATGTTGGCGCATCCCTATGGCTTCACCCGAGTTATGTCTTCCTATTACTGGGACCAAAACTTTGTCAATGGCCAAGACTTGAACGACTGGGTTGGTCCACCCCACGACGACAGTTACAACATCGTTGGTCCCACCTTCAACGCTGACGACAGCTGTGGCAACGGCTGGGTTTGTGAGCACCGCTGGAGACAGATCTACGACATGGTCGAGTTTCGTAATGTTGCTCACGGTATGTGGTTGTTCACTTGTTATATTGAGTTATGTACACACTGTGTTATTGTCTGTGTTCTGCCTTCTCTTACTCACCAGGAACTAGCATTACCCTCTCTTCCTCCCAGGTACTGACATGAATGACTGGTGGGACAATGATAGCAATCAGATTTCTTTCTGTAGAGGCAACAAAGGCTTCATCGCCATCAACAACGACAGTTGGGACCTCAAAGAAACTCTACAGGTTAGATAATTGCGAACTCTATATTAATGATCATATCAAATTATTTACTGCAAGTCAGCAGTTGTAACGTTGATTGTAAAGTTATGGTACATCTCACTGACGGATAACTCTGTAAGAAGACGTAAGATTAACAAAGGATGAGTAAAGCTTGGGTAGGAAAATTTTTAATGGGATAACTGAATACAATGCAATAAGGATAATGGTATATGTTTAAAGTTGTAAAGTTTAGTTTTCCAAATGTATGATTATATTACATATAATGTCTTTCCCCTTTTTATACATGAAGTACATGTACTGAATCCTTCCACTGGTCACTGCTACAATGTTTACTGTGTTTGACCTCCCCAGACCTGCCTGACTGCTGGCACCTACTGTGACGTTATCTCCGGCGCCAAGAATGGTGGTTCCTGTACTGGCAAAACCGTAACTGTCAACGGTGATGGCACTGCTTATATCGAGATCACAACCTCTGAGGACGATGGTGTGCTGGCCATCCACGTTGATGTAAGTAATGTGAATGTGAATCATTGACAGTGGCTCCTAGGTCATTGGTAGTGTGTTCGGCTCAAAACCAAAGGACTAGGGTTCGAATGTGGCACGGGTGGAGACCTGGAGTTTACCTGGAGAGGGTTTCGGGGGTCAACGCCCCCGCGGCCCGGTCTGAGACCAGGCCTCATGGTGGATCAGAGCCTGATCAACCAGGCTGTTACTGCTAGCCGCACGCAAGCTGACGTACGAAGCACAGCCCGGTTGGTCAGGTGTCAGCAACTTAGGTGCCTGTCCAGTGTTTTCTTGAAAACAGCCAGGGGTCTATTGGTAATCCCCCCTATGTATGCTGGGAGGTAATTCAACAGTCTTGGGCCCCGGACACTTATTGTGTTGTCTCAGTGTACTCGTGGCGCCCCTGCTTTTCATCGGGGAATTGTTGCATCTCCTGCAGAGTCTTTTGCTTTCATTTGGAGTGACAGTGGACATATTTCCTCACAGCTGTTATACCTTTTCACCCAGCAGTAAATAAGTGTCCAAGTATTAGCTGAGCTGATGTAAGATGTCAAATCTTAATCTGAAATTCATTTGTGTATTGGTTGGTTGGGTTAAGGATGCACCTAATGTTTTCACTATCAAACAAGAATATTTTGCTCTCTCAAATAGGGATTAAGATAAACTTTCAGCATATATACGCTAAGATAAATATACCTTTCGGTATATAAATCTTATGTCGATGTTGTCTTGGCCCCCACATTAGGCAAACTAAACTGTTTCTTATACTCCTTACACTCAAATGTGTCCGTGTATCTAAGGTTGACACCTCAATTGTAACTTATTCTCTGTCATCCATACATGCTCAAACTAAATAACATTTGGAAGTGTTGTAATGGTCCATGCATTATGTTATATTACGACTGTCAATACGATATAGAATGTTTAATTGCCCATACATTATATAGAGTTGTAATGCTCTATATCTTTTTCTCCACAGTCAAAGTTGTAATTAGTGAATGTAGGTAAGGAGAACGTCGTCTGGTAGATGTTGACTGAAAAACAAGAACATTGCTGCTTCAATTGAGTCTGTGAGAAACAAGAACACTGGTTCAAGGGTGACTGAGAAATAACAATATTGTTGTTTCAAGGGTGACTGTCATAAACAAGAACACTACTTCAAAGGTGACTGTAAGAAACAAGATGCAGCAGTGGGCACTCTCGGAAGACACACCACGATGGCTGCCAGAGACAATGTCAGTGACCAAGATAGGTCACATAAATGCCACAGTTTTACTTCACAAGAAATAATGTTCGTTAACACCTATGAGTCGCTTAATAAAAATTAGAAATAACACAAAATGTTTGTTTTCCAAGAGGGTATATTAGTGTTGCAGGGATTGTTGAACTATTTGTAGTTTCTTACTTGGAAAAACCCAGGCTTATGTAAAGTTCTTCAGGAACACATTGTGGAGAAAGATTGAAATATCTATTATTATTATTATTATTATTATTATTATTATTATTATTATTATTATTATTATTATTTATCCCCAAAAGAGAGCCTTTAAGTGACTGCCTGATTATTTCTCTTTTTTTTTTCCTTTCCCCAACGTTTCGATTTATTTTCATAACACAAGAACATCTCATCCTATCAACTTCAAGTTTACAATGCTTGTGTACGGCAACGAGGACCAGATTCTTGGAATATTCGACATGTGCAGCTGCCCTATGACCAAAGTTGTAGAACCCATTCTCAACATCCTGGAATGACTTGTCTAACTTCCAGACCCTTCAGTGTTTGAGCTTCCAGCGTTCAGTAAACTGCCTCAGAGTTGGACGACGGAGGAGAGTGAAACTCAGATATTAAAATGGTGTAAAAAAAAATAATTCTCGTCAAATCACGTTAAATAAATTTCAGTTTACCTCTCCAGAATGACTTCACTATTTAATGGCTGATTTGTTTTTAGGGGCAGGAAAATACCTATTGAGTTTTGTCTTTGTGCAAGCAAGTGTCAACTATTATAGCACCTCAAAGATACGACAACTAGACGACTACCTCAACCCCTCGAATATACTACAGATGTAAAATATACTTGAAGCAGTAAGAAGACTGAAGACATTAATATTTATTTCGTCTCTGTGGGTATTGTCTTGTGGTTCAGTATAGTAGTATTTACAGCAGGGATTTAGTGATCTTTTTTTCACATTTCGTATATTGTGAGGAAGAAGCCACAAGTCAGGAGAACACACAGCTAACCCCTGGCTTCTTGCTCTTTTATGGCTCCGTTAACACTTGCGTTACTCTCTAATATGTAACAAAATGAAGATTTTGTATGTTGTTACCTTCGGGTTATTGTTTGCATGTTAACATACAAAACCTTATTTATAATGCAGACCAATACAATGTTAATTATTATTAAATTATCCTTGCAAAATGTTACAAATGAGTGTTACAGAAATGTAGTTATGATCATGATCGTTAGTTATTCAACTGTAACCTTTAATGACACATTTCTAAATTATTTTTATTAATATAATATACTTAGGATTGAATGGTCAATAAGTTGCCACATCTTCCATCATGTGAAGTCACATATGAGGTCACTTGTAGCCTCAATATATTTCTGTAATACTGAAAATGAAAAAATTATCATGAGCTTAAGAAGTTGTTTTATTGATAACAAATGTAACAATATATACCCTGAGAGGTGTATGTATGTATCAGTGTAAATACACTGAGAGGTGTATGTATGTATCAGTGTAAATACACTGAGGTGTATGTATTAGTGTGTATACACTGAGGTGTATGTATCAGTGTATATACACTGAGGTGTATGTATCAGTGTATATACACTGAGAGGTGTATGTATGTATGTACATACATATACTGAGAGGTGTATGTATGTATGTATGTCTCTCAGAGGGTTTCTTTAGTCTCTGTTTTGGTTTAAAGTTTTAACTGGCGGTGTACAGGTGTTTTATCCTCTTTAAAAGCTTGAGATGTCATGTTGAATGCTGCAGTTCCTTATATCAAAGAATATTTTGTTAAGGATGAAAATTCCAGAGTGATACTTTTAAAATTTATAAACAATATGATAAGATTTGTATTGATTGGTCAGATAAAGAGCCGGGAGTGATTACTTTCAACAAGTTATCTCAACAAAACTCAGTGATAGCCACACACATATTTCTAAATTTAAAATGTCTAACTTGCTATTTCAACATAGATTTTGAAATTGGAAGACAATCAAAATAACATCTTACATGTTATTAGAGATAAAATAAAAGGGAGATTACCTGAGTATTATACGTGGCAGAGCCAAGCAAAGATTTACTGTATGGTCCAAGACTTACTAAAAAGGAACTGATACAAAATATAATATAAAAATGACTGCTCCACTGTCTGTTACTGTGATCAACATGAACTTTGAAACATGATCAAGTGTAGCACTGAGCATGTCTTATTCGTTAGTCTTAATTAAACCTGTAAAACTACCTGCTGAGCTGGTAGCAACGACTTGTTAATTTTTGTAGGGTTAAGAGATCTACCTCAGTGACACTGGAGTGTATATAAAATATATATATATATATATATATATTATATATATATATATATAAATATATATATATATATATATATATATACTCCAGTGTCACTGAGGTAGATCTCTTAACCTCATTAGGAACATGCCATTACTAAATAAATTCTACATAACGTAAGGGGAACTGTCTTACACAATGACACTTTCCTTAGACTATAACATCTGGCCAAGCTGGAGTATCATACAACTTTGCATAACTTTTTCCCCCCTGAATACGGCCCATAACAGTCGATTATTATCTCAGAAGTACCTATATACCAATATTAACTGTTAGGTGTGTTGTAAAGGAATCACATTCAACTTAATCCGAAGATTGGTTGAACATGTTCATAGTTTATGGGTCGGGCCTGTACTCACCTAATTGTGGTTGCAGGGGTCGAGACTCAGCTCCTGGTTCCTGTGTTACTTATGAAACGTAAACAGTCACCATAGATGCTTAATATGTGATGCTTTTTAGAAACAGGAATCCTCAGCTGCAGTGGGAAACCCTATGCATCTCTACATCGGGAACCATTATCTAAACACGCAATTGCCCCATACACAAAATGTTTGGGGGAAGGGGAGAGGGAGTTATCTGTAGTGGAGGTTTTAGGGGGCAGGAGAGGGCATGTTATCTAAGGTGAAGGCTGGAGTGAGTGTTATCTGAGATGGGCGTGAGAGGAAAGTGTATTAGACGCGAGACTGAGGCCAGGCACTCTCTCTTAGTGTTGTTCTGTGGTGGCCAACACTGGTAGGTGACCCCACTCTCTGACCAGCACTGGTAGTGACCCCTAAATTCTGACCAACACTAGTAGGTGACCCCCAAGTTCTGACCAACACTGGTATTTGACCCCACACCCTGACCAACACTGGTAGATGACCCCACGCTCTGACCAACACTAAGTGACCCCACTCTCTGACCAAAATTTATTGATCCCACGTCTGACCAATACTAAGTGACCCCACATCTGTCCAACACTGGTAGGTGACCCCACTCTGACCAATACTGGTAGGTGACTCGTCCTAAAACAGGAGGTAGATTGTTCCACTGAGGCAAGTGTAACAGATAATAGATTGTTTCACTGAGATAAGTATAACAGGTGATAGATTGTTCCACTGTTGCAAGTGTAACAGATGATAGATTGTTCCATTATAGTGGAATGCATGGACGGGCGCTTGATGCAAGAAGTTAGAGCAGCTCTCCCCGTCCTGGCATCCAACTTGATCACCTCCCGTTCCCCATGCGATGTATGACCCCTATGGGCTTTGGGCTTCCCCATGTGTATAATAATAATAAAGGATATTTGATGATAGTCATGTCTTGCCAGCAGGTAGGGACACCTGAAGGCTGCAACAATCAACCATCAACTAGCAGCCAGCAGCCAGCAGCCAGCAGCCATGAGGGACAACACTGGTAAATCCACAGAAGAACTGTTGGGAGAGAGAAAGCCAGCTCACCTCATGCAGCTCCTAGCTGCTATCTCAGGTACTCTCATTACCCAACGATCATTACCTACTTGTAATCACCTACCTGTCATTACCTATTGCTACCTTTCCCTAATTACTGGAGTAGCACAGTAATCTTAGCTTAACATTTCCAGTGTCTAGTTTGTGGTAGTTTTGTAAAGTGTCAATGATTCCAACAGACACGCTGCTTGTTCTGGCACTGTTGGTGTCTCGGTGTCAACAAGGTGACACACCAGGTGTTCTGGCACTGTTGGCGTCACGGTGTCAACAAGGTGACACACCAGGTGTTCTGGCACTGTTGGCGTCACGGTGTCAACATACTGACCTCACGGATAATAACCTCTGACATCTTGACCTAATCTTAAAGTAATGTAGTTTAAGAAATGCAAAACAAGAACATAAGAAAGGAGGAACACTGCAGTAGGCCTACTGGTTCATACTAGGCAAGTCTTTCACAAATCCATCTCACTAACAAAATATTTACCAACCCATTTTCAATGATACCCAAGTAATAAGCTTCGGTAGCATTGAAAATGTTAACATTATATCATGAGCTAGACCCTGAGCTTGGCCACACCTACTTTATTATATATGTATTGCTTTTATATATTATTTAATTGTTTTCTGTGGTAAGTTCTGGACGTCCCCTTAACAGCCCCTTCAAGGGGGCGCCTTGATGCTGGTGAAAATTTCTTGATCCAAAGAACTCGAGCCACGTTGCCGTTCTGGTATCATACCTATACCTGACTACCTCTCATTTCCCAAGTGCTATATAACCTTTACAGGGTTTAGTGTTTGCCTTTGCCTATCATACTTCTTCCTTCAACAGTAACTTTCGGAGCGCTGAGCTATGGTACAGGTCTTGGGTACGCGTCTCCTGCCGGCCCCATGCTCAAGGATAACTCCACGAATGAGACTTTGGTAATAACTGATGACCAAAATAACTGGTTCTCGTCCACGGTGAACGTGGGAGCTCTGGTGGGTGGCCTCTTGGGAGGTGTATGTATCAACATGATGGGCAGAAAGTGGACCATGGTGGTCTCTGTATTTCCTTTCCTCGCTTCCTGGGCATTAATAGGTTAGTCCTTCTTGTTAAATACATGAATTATGTCTTCATAAATTTGATATGTATTTAAAATAATCAGGGGAGGGGTCTGATCTGAGTCCTGGCCGAGGGGACGTTGACCCCTGTAGCTATATATATGATTTTCAGTAGTGAAATGGTGTAAAAGATTGGTGATTAAAATGTTCAAATCAGTGAGAGTAGAAAAGTTTGGTGTAGTGTGGTTGTTACATTTCGCTTATATTATTTTTTATTTTTTTAAGGATTTGCACAAAACTTCGCCATGTTGATAAGTGGACGAGTAGTGATGGGTCTGACAGCTGGAGTGACTTGTATAGCTGTACCTACATATATAGGAGAGATATCATCACCTGACATCAGAGGCACACTTAGTAAGTTCATAATTTCTCGCCTGTACAGTGGTGGCTCGTGTGCCACTCTCCTTATCGTTGTTTCTTTGCACACTGGCGGAAATAATTATGTTATATAGGTTGTGAATCGCCACAGTGGCTTGTGACACTTAAGTTCTCATTATGGTGGTCAGGTACATTCTTCCAGTTGATGGTCGTGGTGGGTATAGAGTATGGATATGTTTTTGGTGCCATCATGAACACCTGGCGAGGCCTGGCTGGCATCTGTGCCATCCCTGCTGTCATCTACCTCGTTCTTCTCCTCTTCGTCAAGGAGTCTCCACCTTACCTTCTCTCTAAGGGCAAAGACAAGGAAGCCAGAGAAGCCTTACAGTTCTTCAGGGGTAAGTTAATATAGCACTCTCAAAGTCTTTACCATATATATTTTTTGCATACAAGTTATAAAATAAATCAATGACTTTCTGTCTGCGTAATATTTGTAAATAAATGTAGTTTTTTTATAAAATATATTAGGAAAATGCTAGTCATTCTTGTCTTGTTTTGTATATATTTTAATTAATAAATATAGGTCTTACACAGGATATAAAAGCCATGGCGTGTATGGCTTGGTGTTTATATATATATATATAATATATATATATATATATATATATATATATATATATATATATATATATATATATATATATACAGAGAGCTTACTTTATGTATTAAAATACTCTTGACTGGTTTTAAAAACCATTAACCAACCAGCCAAAAAGTATTTTTGTCGCTTTATTCATAGAATTTACTAAGTAAATGAAATAATTTTTGCATATAGTGATCATCCTTTTCTTCCTACATGATTTGTGTTGGGCACTTGGTGGAGCAGGTCGGGATTACAACGTGGAGGCGGAACTACAAGTGATGCAGCAGCTTCAGGAGGCCAGGGGTGAGAATACCTCCTTCAGGGACCTCATGGCTCCATACATCCTCAAGCCACTCTTCATCTGCCTGTCAGTCATGATGTTCCAGCAACTCTCCGGCATCAACGCTGTCCTCTTCAACCTCAATACTATATTCGAGGTAAGTTCGCTGCGTATGCATTATTATATTATTATATTATTATTATTATTGTTATTGTTAAACACCGGCCGTCTCCCACTGAGGCAAGGTGACCCGAAAAAGAAGAAACGCTTTTGCCATCACTGTCTTTTATGTTAGCTATACCAGAAACTTGTTGGCATTACACTCAGATGCCCCTCCAGACTGCATTATTTCCACCCATCCTTAGAGTGCAGGCACTATTCTTCCCACCACCAGGACTCAAGTCCAGTTAACTGGTTTCTCTGATTCCCTTTATGAATGCTTACTTGCTCACACTTCAACAGCACGTCAAATTTTAAAAACCACTTGCCTCCACTCATCCTTATCTAACACTCTCACACACTCCTGCTGGATGTTCAAACCCCTCGCAGTATCATCATCATTACCATCATTATTCTTGGGAAACGCAAAGTTCCTAGTGAGCATACAGCACTTAGTGAGTGGAAGATAGTTTGGCTGGATGTAAAAAAGGAAAAGCTTCATCCAGTTCCTTGGTATCAATAAAATGATTTTCCTTAAGAACATAACATAACATAAGAAAGGAGGGACACTGCAGCAGGTCTGTTGGCCCATACTAGGCAGGTCCTTTACAATTCATCCCACTAACAAAACATTTGACCAACCCAATTTTCTATGCTACTCAAGAAATAAGCTCTGATGTGCAAGTCCCATTCAAATCCAACCCCTCCCACTCATGTACTTATCCAACCTAAATTTGAAACTACCCAAAGTCCTAGCCTCAATAACCCAACTAGGTAGACTGTTCCACTCATCAACTACCCTATTTCCAAACCAATACTTTCCTGTGTCCTTTCTAAATCTAAACTTATCTAATTTAAATCCATTACTGCGGGTTCTCTCTTGGAGAGATATCCTCAAGACCTTATTAATATCCCCTTCATTAATACCTACCTTCCACTTATACACTTCGATCAGGTCTACCCTCATTCTTCGTCTAACAAGTGATTGTAACTTAAGAGTCTTCAATCTTTTCATAAGGAAGATTTCTAATGCTATGTATTAATTTAGTCATCCTACGCTGAATGTTTTCTAACGAATTTATGTCCTTTCTGTAATATGGAGACCAGAATTGAGCTGCATAATCTAGGTGAGGCCTTACTAATGATGTATAAAGCTGCAGTATGACCTCTGAACTTCTGTTGCTTACACTTCTTGATATAAATCCCAGTAATCTATTTGCCTTATTACGTACGCTTAGGCACTGCTGTCTTGGTTTAAGGTTGCTGCTCACCATAAACCCCAAGTCCTTTTCGCAATCTGTATGGCTAAGTTCTACATCATTTAACTCATAAGTGCTAGGGTTATGGACACTCCCGAGCTTCAGAACCTTGCATTTATCTACATTGAACTGCATCTGCCACTTTTCTGACCAAGAATGTAGTTTGTTTAAATCCTCCTGAAGTTCCCTAACGTCTACGTTTGAATCAATTATCCTACCTATCTTTGTGTCATCGGCGAATTTGCTCATATCACTAGTAATTCCCTCATCAAGGTCATTGATATATATTATAAACAACAACGGGCCCAAGACTGATTCCTGTGGAACGCCACTTGTTACAGATCCCCACTCGGATTTAACCTCATTTATGGACACTGCTTCCTGTCTGTGAGCCATGACTCGATCCATGAGAGCACTTTTCCCCCAATGCCATGAGCTGCCACTTTCTTTAACAGTCTTTGGTGCGTAACTCTATCAAAAGCCTTACTAAAATCTAAGTAAATAATATCAAAGATAACAGTTTGTAAAAACTTTCCCCACATCATAAATATGATCTATGTGGGTCTCTCTCTTCTTTTTAACAGAAACTAGGCTATTGCAGTAACTTTGAGTTAACCCTTTCGGGCTTAGTGCTTAAATTGTTAATAATGATAATAATAAACAGGATATTTTTGGGTTTCTCCGAGAGAAAGTAATGTTTGTTGACATAGGTTTCAGGTTCTGATATCTCTGACGATGTTAGTGCCATCATTGTAGGAGCAGTTCAAGTGGTTGCTACCATCGTTGCTGGTGGTCTGATGGACAAGGCTGGCAGGAAGCTGCTCCTTATTATATCCGCCGCCGCCATGGTTATCTCACTTGGTAAATTAAAATGGAACAATTGTTCACTAACGTTATGGTAAAAACCATGTGTACAAGAAAACACTTGAAGCTTTATCAGGAGCTTTCAGAGAGCAAAAAAGGTTACGTAGATAATGTCTGTCACACTGTCATTGTCGAATAACAATATTAATAAAACATACTAGTAACACCAGTACACAACGCTAGTAATACCAGCACAGAACACTAGTAACCCCAGTACACAATACTAGTAACACCAGTACACAACACTAGTAACACCAGTACATAACACTAGTAAAACCAGTACACAACACTAGTAACACCAGTACACAATACTAGTAACACCAGTACACAACACTAGTAACACCAGTACATAACACTCGTAACACCAATACACAACACTAGTAACACCAGCACTCAACACTATTAACACCAGTACACAATACTAGTAACACCAGTACACAACAGTAGTAACACCAGTACACAATACTATTAACACCAGTACATAACAGTAGTAACACCAGTATATAACACTAGTAACACCAGTACACAACACTAGTAACACCAGTACACAACACTAGTAACACCAGTACACAACACTAGTAACACCAATACACAACACTAGTAACACCAGTACATAACACTAGTAATACCAGTACACAACACTAGTAACCCCAGTACACAATACTAGTAACACCAGTACACAACACTAGTAACCCCAGTACACAATACTAGTAACACCAGTACACAACACTAGTAACACCAGTACACAACGCTAGTAATACCAGCACAGAACACTAGTAACCCCAGTACACAATACTAGTAACACCAGTACACAACACTAGTAACACCAGTACATAACACTAGTAAAACCAGTACACAACACTAGTAACACCAGTACACAATACTAGTAACACCAGTACACAACACTAGTAACCCCAGTACACAATACTAGTAACACCAGTACACAACACTAGTAACACCAGTACACAACGCTAGTAATACCAGCACAGAACACTAGTAACCCCAGTACACAATACTAGTAACACCAGTACACAACACTAGTAACACCAGTACATAACACTAGTAAAACCAGTACACAACACTAGTAACACCAGTACACAATACTAGTAACACCAGTACACAACACTAGTAACACCAGTACATAACACTCGTAACACCAGTACACAACACTAGTAACACCAGCACTCAACACTATTAACACCAGTACACAATACTAGTAACACCAGTACACAACAGTAGTAACACCAGTACACAATACTAGTAACACCAGTACATAACAGTAGTAACACCAGTATATAACACTAGTAACACCAGTACACAACACTAGTAACACCAGTACACAACACTAGTAACACCAGTACACAACACTAGTAACACCAGTATGTCAGCATAGTTGCTGATCCCTGTATTCCCAGTATTATATAGCATAGCAGTAGCATCATCCATGTGCTTTAGACACGAGACCCCTCGTAGGCCTGTGGCTTTGTGTGACGTCACGGGATGCACACGAGGAGGCCCATTCCTCTGTCCCGGCCTCACTCGGCGGCAGACCATCCAGGCGTAGACAGGCAAGGCAGTGGGCTCCATCCTTCACCTACTCAGACTGACATTAAAGCAACCATCCTACAAGTGTGTCTACTTTCAACCTGTGATATCTCCATTTAAGAACCCTTACGATAAGTACACAACACTAGTAATACCAGTACACAACACTAGTAACCCCAGTACACAATACTAGTAACACCAGTACACAACACTAGTAACCCCAGTACACAATACTAGTAACACCAGTACACAACACTAGTAACACCAGTACACAACACTAGTAATACCAGCACACAACACTAGTAACCCCAGTACACAATACTAGTAATACCAGCACACAACACTAGTAACACCAGTACACAACACTAGTAACACCAGCAACTTTTCCCTAGCTCTAACAAGTGTATTTCTTTACCTCTCTCAAAGTTAGAATGCCTCTGCATGTATACTTTGTATTTAACTATATTCTGATCTATGTCACTGCCTCCTGTCTTTACTACTGTCAACTGACCATCAACTCTCTCCGGCAGTGGCGCTTGACGTGTTTTTCTACGAGAAGGCTCAAGACGAAGCCTGGGCGGTGTCTACCTTGGGCTGGCTGCCTCTCACCTCACTTATTATATTCATCTCAGCCTTCTCTATCGGCTATGGTCCAATACCTTGGGTCATGATGGGTAGGTGGAGCTCGCCACACGTCTCCTGGTACCTTTCCCTTATATATAACTATTCAACTGTTTGAATAAATGGTTTAGAAATCCGACAAGTTGATAAATGAGACACTTGTACAATATTTGGGTATCTTTTTTCTGGAAACGTTTCGCCAGCCAGTGACTTCTTCGGCTTCTTCAGTCCAGTGCAGAGAAAGGTGGAAGATGAGGAGTTTGAGGTAATCAGTCCTTCAGCCTGGAGTTGATGTGTTCACTACATCAGTCTTTAGTAATGGACTGAACATATCGACTACAGGCTGAGGGACTGATTACCTCAAAATCCTCCTCATCTTCCATCTTTCTCTACATTGGACTGGAGAAGCCACTAGCTGGCGAAACGTTTCCAGAATAAAGTTACCCAAATGTTGCACAAGTGTCTCATTTATGAACTCAACTGCTGCAAGTTAAGCTTCACATATTTCACCAGATTTATATTAATGCTAACTTCCAGATACTGAGTGACGGACAAATGTATCATCAAATACATAGGTAAACAGCTTTTACCCGGGACGTAACATGACTTAAAACACTAATTTCATGAGAGTTCGGGTGAGCACACTACTGACTCCCAACTGGTACCAACATCCAAAATCTGTTTTCACTGTATAATAGCCAAATATTCTGTGAGCGTTATGTTAGAGTGGAAGTTGACGTCATTAACAGCGTTGTTAGTACACTATCTTATCTTAATGGCTGTCAAGAAATGCCTCACTTGTTGTAGATAACGCCTTGTAAACTAGATTAAAACATTAAAAGAGCTATTGCAACTACATTCTTGACTACCAGGATAGTTACAGCTGTTGCTACTGCCCTTTCAACTACCAGGATAGTTTATATTGTTGCAAGAGGATGATCAAGTAGTATGCTCATCATTTAGCATACTCCAACCATGAGTGTTTATGTCAACCCTCCCCTCTCTCTCTCTCTCTCTCTCTCTCTCTCTCTCTCTCTCTCTCTCTCTCTCTCTCTCTCTCTCTCTCTCTCTCTCTCTCTCTCTCTCTCTCTCTCTCTCTCTCTAATCATTTTTTTCTGATGTGGCGTGTTTTTTCTGTGTGTTCTGACGTATAATGTTCTTCAGGTGAACTGTTCTCACTGAACGTGCGTGAGGCTGCCAGCAGCCTGGCTACCATGGTCAACTGGACACTATCATTCATCATCACTCTGGTGTTCGAACCTCTGCAGGTGAGTAATGATCTTGCACTTACGATCCGGGATCGATCCCCGACACGGGTGAAATGTTGGGCATGTTTCTTTACACTTTCTGCCCCTGTTTACCTGGCATTATTAGTCACCTTACACCTGCTGCCCCTGTTCAGCTACAGTAAATGGGTACCTGAATTTTAGCCAACTGTTGCAGGTTGCATCCTGGGGAATAAGATTAACCTAAGTTACCAGAAACGTTCTGCATAACCAGGGGTTTTCTATAGCATGCCAATGATGTCAGTTATGGTCTGTAATAGTTGTATCATGTACTTGAAGAAATAAATATTATTATTTATTATTATTATTATGTAGTAGTAGTAGTAGTAGTAGTAGTAGTAGTAGTAATAGTAGTAGTAGTACTAGTAGTAGTAGTAGTAGTACTAGTAGTAGTAGTAGTACAACCCAAGGAATTCGTCTTTTGTATATAGTTCTACAATCTTCACATGTCCTTGAATTGTATTGATAAAGCCACTGGATGGCGAAATGTCTACAAATAGAGATACCCAGATGTTGCACATGTGTGTAAATCTTCAAATATAAACTATTAGTAGTGAGAAATGAAGCTCACACCTCGCCTCTGCTCGTTTCTTCCAACAGACTGCGATTGGAGAATTCGGTACATACTGGCTCTTCGCAGGCTTCTGCACAATCAATTTAATATTCTGCGTGTTGGTGGTGCCGGAGACAAAAGGCAAGACTCAGCAGGAGATCACTGCATACTTCGGTGGGCCTGTGACCACCAACATGTCAACTACAAAGGAAGTCTCAACAGTATACAGTGTTACTATTCAAAATGAGTCGCAGAGAGGAGATACCAAAGTTCCTCCAGTACCATGAGTTGAAGTTAACAAAATTTTTAAAATCAGACTGCTTAATATGCTGGATTATAAGTTGCTATTAAGTATTTTGAACATTCCGAAATTTCACCTCATTACCTCTTCTCCTAACAAGGCATTAAGTAGTGTAAATGGTGATGATTGGTGTTTAATAAATGTTTATGAGCTTCGTCTCAGTGCTGGGAATGTGACACCGATTACCATGTCACTCTTACTTAAGTAGTATGATATAACTTGTATCTGAGTATACTAAACCCAGCACCACACTACACCAGACCCAGCACCACACTATATCAAACAAAGTACCACACTACACCAGACCCCGTACCACACTACACCAGACCCAGCACCACACTATATCAAACCCAGTACCACACTACACCAGATCCCGTACCACACCACACCAGACCCAGCACCACACTATACCAAACTCAGCACCACACTATACCAAACCCAGTGCCACACTACACCAGACCCCGTACCACACTACACCAGACCCAGCACCACACTATACCAAACCCAGTACCACACTACACCAGACCCCGTACCACACTACACCAGACCCAGCACCACACTACACCAGACCAGCACCACACAATACCAAACACAGTACCACACTACACCAGACCAAGCACCACACTACACCAAACCCAGTACCACACTACACCAGACCCCGTACCACACTACACCAGATCAAGCACCACACTACACCAGACCCGTACCACACTACACCAGACCAAGCACCACACTACAAAAGACCCCGTACCACACTACACCAGACCAAGCACCACACAAACACCAGACCCCGTACCACACTACACCAGACCAAGCACCACACTACACCAGACCCGTATCACACTACACCAGACCACGCACCACACTACACCAGACCCCGTACACACCTACACCAGACCAAGCACCACACTACACTAGACCAAGCACCACACTACACCAGACCCAAACACCACACTACATCAGACCAAGCACCACACTACACCAGACCCCGCACCACACTACACCAGACCCCGTACCACACTACACTAGACCAAGCACCACACTACACCAGGCCCCGTACCACACTACACCAGACCAAGCACCCACACTACACCAGACCCCGTACCACACTTCACCAGACCCAGTACCACACTATACCTGACCCAGTACCACACTATACCAGACCCAGTACCACACTACACCAGACCATGCACCACACTACATCAGACCAAGTACCACACTATACCAGACCCAGTACCACACTGTACCAGACCAGTACCACACTACACTAGACCAAGCACACACTACAAGAGACCCAGTACCACACTACCCAAACCCAGTACCACACTATACCAGACCCAGTACCACACTACACCAGACCCAGTACCACACTACACCAGACCCAGTACCACACTACACCAGACCCAGTACCACACTACACCAAACCCAGTACCACACTACACCAGACCCAGTACCACACTACACCAGACCAAGTACCACACTATACCATACCCAATGCCACACTAAACCAGACCCAGTACCACACTAAATCAGACTCAGTACCACATCATACCAGACCCAATACCACACTAAACCAGACCCAGTACCACACTAAACCAGACCCAGTACCACATTACACCACATTACACTATACCTCACTGAGCCAACCTACACTCCACTACACTACACTCCACTACACTCCACTACACTACACTACACTACACTCCATACACTCCACTACACTACACTACACTCCACTACACTACATCCACTACACTACACTACACTACACTACACTACACTACACTACACTACACTACACTCCACTACACTACACTACACTACACTACACTCCACTACACTACACTACACTCCACTACCCTACCACTCCCACTACACTACACTACACTACACTCCACTACACTACACTACACTACACTCCACTCCACTACACTACCACTACACTACACTCACTACACTCCACTACACTACACTACACTCCACTACACTACACTACACTACACTACACTCCACTACACTACACTCCACTACACTACACTACACTACACTACACTACACTACACTCCACTACACTACACTACACTACATTCCACTACACTACACTCCACTACACTACACTACACTACACTACACTACACTCCACTACACTCCACTACACTACACTACACTCCACTACACTACACTACACTCCACTACACTACACTACACTCCACTACACTACACTACACTACACTACACTACACTACACTACACTACACTACACTCCACTACACTACACTCCACTACACTACACTACACTACACTACACTCCACTACACTCCACTACACTCCACTACACTCCACTACACTCCACTACACTACACTACACTACACTACACTACACTACACTACACTACACTACTCTAGAGTAAAGCCAGAGGAGACATAAACAGAAAAATATGAAGAATTTTTCAAATTATGACGTTAATCTCCTACAGTTTAATAAAAACTGACATATTCATCACACTTCAGAGTTTCCAGTTATATATATATATATATATATATATAATATATATATATATATTATATATATATATATATATATATATATATATATATCCTGGAGTGTTGGTAGGGCAGTAATAGTAGACTGGGAAGTATAATGTTGTTACAGGTGACTGCTATGTACCAGGCAGGTCACACAAAGTAGAAAGAAACATTATATAAACTTTTGTGGAATGCAGACTCATACACTGTAGTGTATTCTTGTACTGTGGATAATTATCTTTTTGCATATGGTTATTAACACAGTTACAGTGATTCACTGCTCTTATACGGAGGCGCTAGTGATTGGCAAGTAAATATATGTGAGTAAAAGAACCTGTAATAATGATAGCCTTGAGGAACTGGGCGTCTACACTGCAAACTGAATTGTTTGCAATCCTAATGGCGCTAAAGCTAACCTATGACACTGAGCTTGACTCTATCATCATTACTGATTCTATGTCATCATTGAAGGCTCTTGGCTCATATAATGACTCCAACAACATGGTCATTGGGGAAGCCAGGTATAGATACTCAAAAATTAGGGACAAAGGAATTAATGTACAATTGCTATGGATCCCATCACACATTGGATTACTCCTTCATGATAAAGTTGATATGTTAGCCAAGAAGAGTATCGAGAAGGAGAATGTAGAATATAACTTTGGTATAACTGTGTCTAGCATTAGGAATAATATTAGGAGAGAAGTAAATAATGAAAATGATTGTTATAGGAATGCAGTTAGAAGCCTGAGTAGATCTATAACCCACTATGATAACACGAACGTAGATAAGTATGTTTATGGAGCAACTTGCAGTGTGAACAGACTGACTGATGTTGTAGTGGCCAGGCTTAGGCTTGGTTACAAGTACTTCTGGCAGTTTGGGAGACCACACAGATGATGATCAAACTAAATGTAAATTATGTGATCAGGCATATGGTCACTCTCTTGAACACTATGTGCTTAATTGTCCACTTATTGAGGAATACAGAGACAGACAGTATAATAACCTATGTGACATGTCAAGATATCTTATTAATGAAAATAAGATACCAGATATACTAAGCAAATTTCCTAAATTTGCTTGTAACAGATAAGTGAACTATAGATATGTAGATATAAATCCATATGTATTCCTGTTAACCCTTTGGGGCCTAGTTCCTAGGCCTTTTGTGTATCCATATGCTCTCGCGCTACCGTCCACAGGATGGATATGGGGTGCACAATAAACTAGCCACTTCGGTGGCAAAATCTAATCTGAGGAAAAAGTCAAATCCAGAGTGTAACTCCACTTGTAAGGAGGCGCAGGAGAATGTTAACTCCGCTTGTTAGGAAGTGCCAGGGAGTGAGTGTGGGGAGAGAGAACCACCATCCAGTTGATGGTACTGGAAGAACCAACGGGATGGTTAACGAGTGTAGATGGTTGTTCTGATGGCAAGAGTGCACGAGCAATACTGGTGAGCAGCTTGCATTCTCTTGAAACATGTGCTCAAATGACACATAGAGCTACAAGCAACAGGATGACACAGAGTTACAAGCAACAGGATGACACATAGAGCTACAAGCAACAGGATGACACAAAGTTACAAGCAACAGGATGACACATAGAGCTACAAGCAACAGGATGACACAAAGTTACAAGCAACAGGATGACACATAGAGCTACAAGCAACAAGATATCTTCTCTAAAACACTTCATTTAACAACCAATAAATGCAACTACCATTCTTATGTGTTTCCTTGATTTACTTTGTTGATGTAGAGGTTGATGTGGTGGTCGATGTAGTAGTTAATGTAGTGGTTGATGTTGTAGTTGATGTAATGGTTGATGTAGTGGTTGATACAGTGGTTGATACAGTGGTTGATACAGTGGTTGATGTAGAGGTTGATGTATTAGTTGATGTAGTGGTTGATGTAGAGGTGGATGTAGTGGCTGATGTAGTGGTTGATGTAGACGTTGATGTAGTTGTTGGTAGTGTTGCTAACACTATACACTCCACTACACTACACACTCCACTACACTACACACTCCACTACACTACACACTCCACTACACTACACACTCCACTACACTACACACTCCATTACACTCACACTCCATCACTAATACTTCCACTACTCTAACTCCATACATCAGCTTCACTACACTCTCCTACCACGTCTCCACTACGCTACACTTCACACTACATCCATCTCTACCTGAAGGTCTCGAGGTTCTGACCTCAGGTCTGGTGAGTGATGGAGGAAGAGGTTGGGAGGGGGAAAACAATGGGATAAGGTTGGGGAGGGTGGAGTAGAGGTGGTGTGCAGGGTGATGGCCCGTCCACTCTGGAGCTTGAAGTTGTGTACTGCAGGGTTTGTAATTGGAGCGAGAGTGCTCGTGCACATTCGTAATGGGACAACTGAGCCCTGCAGGAGATGGCTGGTGGGTCCGGGAACAGGGTCGTTTGGAGCTCGCAGGAAGGGTGGGTTTGGGGTTGCTGGTCGGTGTGATTAGCTTGCGTGTCGGAGCATATGAGGTTGATTTCTGCTCTTGGGTTGATTGTATGATTTGGTTGAGGGTTTTTTCTTGGGGGCGAATATGGTTTTTGGAAGTGAAGCTCTCGTGCTGTACTTTGAGTGTGGTCTGGAGTCGTTGGTTTGAGTTCGGGAGAAGGGCATGCTTGCTGTATTGGTTTCGTGGTTAGAACTTGGCAAAGTCGTGATTTGAGAGTCTGATCGTTGTGGTGGGGGTTGAGCTGGGCGAATGGGGTTCTGATAAGTTAGTGGTTTCGGGGTGGCAGGTGGTGGTGGGTCACGTTGGTGGTTTCTCTGGTCTCGGGGTCTGGTTGGATCTGTGGTGGTTCTGATGAGGTCCGAGGTGTTCTTGTTGGGCAGTCAGTGTCTGGTGGAGGTTGAGGGTAGCGGTGGAGGTGAAATGTTAGTGTATTGCAGTGGTTTGAGTCAGTGGTGGTGGTGTGCGGTGTGACCCGCACGTTGTGAGCTTGATGGTTTGTTGATGGTGGTGGTTGAAGGAGCCGGCTCAGCTGAATTCGGTACATGGGATACATGATGCAGTAGAGATTTTGGTGGTCGCCAGAAGGCTGCAGGGAGTGTGGGGCTGCTGAGTGGTTTGAAGCTGGTGTTACTGGATTGAGTTGTTGGGGGTTGGCTTGACTTTGATGGTATGTTCATGGCTAGTCCTTCTGGTGCATCGGGGGCTGCGAGAGGTGGTGGTCGTTCTTGCAGTTCGAAGGCAGAAGATGCTTGGTTATGTAGTGTGTATGACTGACTGGGTTGCTGAACTGCGATGGTGTATGGTGGTATGTGTGGTGGATGTGTGGTTGACGGTGGTGGTGTGGTGTGTAGGTGGTTGTGTGTGGGTGTGTGTTTTTGTGTTATAGTGTGTGAGTGGTGTGATGTTGGTGTGGTGTGTAGTGGTGGTGATATGTAGTGATGGTGTGTGTAGTGTTGGTGTAGTAGTGTGGTGGTGTGAAGGATGTGTATAGGTGTTTACAAGGTGGATTGTTTATGGTAGTGGTGGATAGTGTAGTGTAGGAAGGTGTGTTAGAGGTGGTGTTGGTGTCATTGCTTATGAGAGTAGGCCTAGCTTAAACGGAGATGTGGGTCTCCATCAAGACCACTTTGGTGGCCCCAGCCCAACAACCTGTGGGGGCCCCAGAGCCAGCATCTTGGGGGTGGGGCCCTACTACTATTAAAGTTCTTTGTGGAATTACATTCTGATGTTATAGAATTTGATCAGACAGTACGTGAAAATAACTTCTGAGATATTATGGTAAGTAGACTTGTGAAGTTAGTGTTGGCAGCGGTGATGTAATAGTTTACCACACCGAAACCCTCTCCAGGTAAACTACAGGTAAACTACAGGTAAACTCCAGGTAAACTCCAGGTAAACTCCAGGTAAACTCCAGGTAAACTCCAGGTAAAGCGACAAGTTGAAAAATAAGACACTTGTTGCAAGTGTCTCATTCTTCAAGGCAGCAGTGCCTCTCATTATTCAAGGCAGCAGTGCCTCTCATTATTCAAGGCAGCAGTGCCTCTCATTATTCAAGGCAGCAGTGCCTCCCATTATTCAAGGCAGCAGTGCCTCCCATTATTCAAGGCAGCAGTGCCTCTCATTATTCAAGGCAGCAGTGCCTCCCATTATTCAAGGCAGCAGTGCCTCTCATTCTTCAAGGCAGCAGTGCCTCTCATTATTCAAGGCAGCAGTGCCTCCCATTATTCAAGGCAGCAGTGCCTCCCATTATTCAAGGCAGCAGTGCCTCTCATTCTTCAAGGCAGCAGTGCCTCTCATTATTCAAGGCAGCAGTACCTGTAATTATTCAAGGCAGCAGTGCCTCTCATTATTCAAGGCAGCAGTGCCTCTCATTATTCAAGGCAGCAGTGCCTCTCATTATTCAAGGCAG